GAAAATAAGAAACGCCGGTTGTGATTAAGGCATTGCAGACAATTAAACTCTCAATAAAACATTGGCTAAAAACTCCATTTTGTCTCATTTTGTCTCCCGCACAGCTAATTATAAGGTACTTTGTCTGCCTGTCGTGATATACTATGTTTTGATTAGCATGACTCTTACCATGTTTTATTGCCTGAAAGTAGTGGAAAACTGCCTAAAGTAATTAAAGCAAAGAAAATAAACTGCAAAAAGACAAACTGATGGCTAAAAGCTTAGTTTCACTAGCCGGTTAAGCCAAGTACTTCCTGTAATTCTGACGACAGTTTACAACCAAACCACTTGCAGAGTTTGTTTTGTTTTTTTCATGCAAAGCTTTTTGAAAACTGAGTAGAAATTTCTTCCTTAATCTAAAATTGTGCCATAACGGAAACGTGAAAAACGTAAAAAAAGCAATGTTTTCGAAGGCATGCAGGTGTGATTTTCTAGTCTGAGAATAAATTTCTTACAGTGAAAACATTATCAGTACAGCCTCGTTATTGGGTTTTATAATAAATATGCAAAATCGCTACACTGATTAATTGATATCAATGGAGTTGTTATTTTTGGGAGGGACATTTTTTTCTAATAAATAAACACTATAATAATGTGTCAATCTACCTAGCTTACACCTGGAATAGTGCACATTAATTGTGGATATCTATCCTCCTACGTGCGTCTAGTTTTACCCCAATCTCGCATATATCGCTGGCCACATATTCAACCCTTTGCTCGCTCCATATTAAGTATGTACCATGCTGATGAAAAATCTATACATAATATATATGTACATTACAAGATTGAGAAAATTTATCCCAAGCGTTGCACAGGTGTGAAAGTCTTTACATTATCTGAAAGGAAGTTCTTAATATCCTCTCTTGTTCTTATGAGACAACTGTCTCTGAATCATGTACCTACTTATTATCGTTCTGAAGGCAATCAAAGTTGAAACCACGAAATATAGCTGTAAACTTTTCATTCGGAATCGACTAGTACGTGAATAAAAGAATTAAAATCTCGTTTTCAAAAGAAACGTTGCTGGCCAGCTTTTTCAGTTTACAGTAAGACTGGAGTTTTCACCTTCTGACAACTTAGAATTCATGACAAAAAAACAGAGGAGTCACTTCCTGGAACTTTGTTTTGTATTTCTTCTAGATGAGAAATTAATATGACATTTGTGACATATTTTACCTAAAGAGAGCGGCTGGAAGAGAGTTTGAACCGACAATTTTAAAAAGATGGGAATCGGCGAATTGGTGGCGAGTTTATTTCGGATAGTTTAATTAATTGGCGTTTCAGATGGAGGAAAAACGGATGTTACTTTCTACATTCGGAATGAATTTATTGAAATTAAAGTTTTGAATTATTTAAGACTAAATTAGGGCCCTTTACATGACGTTTACCCTCCTCATTTTTTATTGAAATTCAATGGCCTATCATTCCAAACATGAAGCGTTGGAAATATTTCGTATGCAATCAAAAAAATACTATTACTTCATTTCTTAACTAAGACCCGTCACCAAATTTTGCAATCATTTACGATTTTAATGAAAATAGTCACGTGACAGTTCCCGTGTCTAACTGTAGGAATAGTTATCCTTTAAAGACAATGATGTCTTTCAATGTACCAAATCGGATTTAGCTCAATCCACTTTACCGAAGTTATAGGGAATAATTTTTTTTTTAAAGTAAATCTGTTAGACACAGGCCTTAAACTAGAAAAGATAATCTATCTACTATCCGACTGGTTCTTCAAAGCTGGTTACAGAGCCTCTGTGGAACCTCTCTTTCCAAAAAAATGAAAATTTTAGAAATTTTTAGTATCATTATTCTATTATTTTCAGGGTAGTTTTTTCCATAAACCCTTTTCGCAACAATCTCTTATGCCACTTTGTTTTCGTCAAATCTTTCCAACTGGCCGAGTCAAATTTACATTACTCATTGTACGGTGAAAAATTCAAAGAATCTTAAAACGATATCGTCCGCGGCTTCGCAGAACCAATCAAAAGTTTTCTATACTTTTTGGAGCTCCTCACCAACAGCGCCGTAGCTAGTATGAGGCCAACCGAGGCACTCGCCTCGGTAAAATTTTGACGAATTTCGCCGATCATTTTTATTTTACATAAGCGATCATCGGATATTTTTAACGCATCATGATATTACAAAGAATTCAGCAATTCAGTCAATATACTATGAAAAAATTACCATATCATCGATCTCAAGGGGCTACGTACGTTAACTCAAATTTTTTCTGAACAAATACTGATCAAAACCATTGGCGAGGTTAACGGTCACCCAGATTATGTAGTTTGTTTCTGATTATTGCTTTTTAAATTCCACTTAAATTAACTCGAAAAAAAGTTACCGAAAGGCCCAGAAAACGCTGCAAATCGCATTTCCGAGAGACTAAAGTTCAAAATTTCTCGGGGGGGGGGCATGCCCCCGAACCCCCCCTAGCAACTCCCGCCTGCCTCGGTTGGCCGTTTGGTCTGGCTACGTCACTGCGGTCTGTCATCGAAGGAGAGAAAAGTGTTTTTTTCCTCCTCAAATTGTCCTATGAGGACATTTAGGCAAAATAATGCAACTCATGTCTAGATTTGTTGCATCCGATTTTTCTATATTGCCTATTTTTTATGGACACATTTACAAAACATCTGGAAGGTGACCTTGACTACACTATAACAGCTAAAAGCTCATAATTTATATTTACGCTACAAATACTTCCCGTCTGTACTTTATTTTCGCTAATATTGCCCTCAGCAAATTCGTGTAGTTATGTCAGTCAGTCTTCTCGTCTTCACGTACGATTACTTGAGATTTAGAGAGTAGTCGAGTACCCAGTGAGTACCGAAGACAATGTTGCCTTTTGTGTTGAGGCTTATTGTTTGTGTGGTTATCCTATTGTTTTCACAGCCAATACGCAAACCGTTCAGTGAGGTGCTGTTTCACCGAGGTTAACCGTAATTCAATATCTTAAAAGAGCGAAGTAAAGTGTAGTAAAGTAATAGTTTCCAAATACAGTTTTTAACCACAGTTAGTTAGTTGGTTAATTAGTTAGTCAGTTTTTTACCATGCACATTTTTGTTCCTGATTTAATGATGTTTTTTTTTTCTAGCTGAAAACATACTATATACTTTATATTTCATTAGCAAATGTAGAGCCATTTCTTCATGGAGTGAAATGCTGTTAATAAACCATTATTATTATTAAATCGACGAGTCTTGTTGTTGCTCATTTTAGCCTATAAACTTGAACTGATATAAGTTTTTTTTTGCTTTATGTAATTCGTATGTAGTAAAATCAATAAATTCTCGCGCCCACGGTCGGAGGAAACGTTTTCCAATTTTCCTGTATCTTATGATATGACTGATAGATAAATGTCTCATCAACCGTGAACCCAAAACCCACGGTTTATTGCTTCATCAATTGGCGCAGATAAACGACCTTCTAGCAGGATCTTCTCTAGCACCGCCCTGATGTAGGAACACTAACAAAAAGACGAAAAAGCTAGGCCAAGCCAGCTGCTAGTAGATGCATGAAGAGACACGTATTAGACAAGACAAAATAAAAGTGACTTACGACAACTTAGAAATTCATGAGACTCGGAGGCAAGTCCGGAATTAACTTCCGGCTAAAAGGACTTTTCTAGATGGTAAAAACTTCATTTATGCGGCGTATGCTGAGTATAAGAAATTACTGAAGTCAATTAAAATAATTGATAGGCTGGTACTACGGCAAGGAGGAAATTTTCGTAAGGCCAATATTTTTCTTGTTTCTGAACCCTCTAGAACCCTCAATATAGACCTGTTCCTATTTCCTAAGTAAGTATTGGCCTCGTTAAAATCGCTTTTTGTGCGGCAGTGTCCATTATTTCCTTCTACACAAAAATACGTCTGGTACACGTAGCCGGTAACAAAAGTAATGAGTCGATTTCTGTTGTTTGGTCTAAACCATTCAAGCGTTTTAAGCAAAAGTCTAAAGAAAACCAATCGCCACGTATCAGTCTTTCAGTGTACTGTGCGTATATCAAACCACTGTCTTAATATGATAGGATGAGTTTTTAAAACCGAGGATGTGAAAAATTTGTAAATTAAAAAGCGAATGAAGAAATATTAAATTAAAATCTTGAAAAAGTGGCTTTGACCTATGCAGCATCCAGTAACAATGAACGCTTCTCCCCTTTATTCAGTAATCTCTCTTATACCGGTAGTTTATTTCTCAGATTCACAAATTACTAAACTCCAAACTACGTATGGGTGATTAGACAGGGTCGGTGCAGTGTTGAATTGTTATATTGGCTATTACGCAGTGGAGCAGGGAATTGGGACAATCTTCAGACCCAAACAATCCCATAATGCAATTCGTGACATGTCACTGATTCAAGCGTAACTTGCAGTTTTACGTGAACTTCGTCTTCCCATGATGCCATGCGCGTCGGATGTTTCTAGTCATTCGACTAATCTCGCTCTCTCAACAGACATCATCGAAAGCGGTTAAGACATAGCTTTTGCCCTTTACTATCAATTGCACTGTTATTAGTTCTTTTTTAACCATCTTTAATTAACTGTATTGATTGCATTTGCCGGTAATAAATTCATTTAAAAAGACAGTTCTACTTGCAGTAACCTTGATGGAAATCCTCTAGCTAGTGGTCGCTTACAAATACAAGAATAAAAAACTTGAAACTTGAGTTGAATTAAATCATTCCTGCACGCAGTCAGCCTCAGTGGCAGATGCTTTATGTGGCTTCCCGCAGGTGTAAGCTTATGAGAGCTTCAAACGTCTTTATGCTTGAGTTTCTTATGGTTAAAAATCAAAACCTGGAAGTTGACAAGTTTTTCTACGCTGACAAAATGGATACCAGGAACTACTTATTCACTTGTATTGTAGCCAGGGCTCGAAAAAAAAGCCCCATCCGGTAGTCTGGGAGAAGTAGATTTTCTTGCTGGGCAAGTAGCTGTTAACTGAAGCTTACGGTGGTTTACGGTCGTTTCGATACAAGCCTATTCAGTTTAGGTGTTAATAGTTCTACCTACTCGGCTTAAAGAACGAAGAATATTCACCCAAAATGTTTTTCTTGTTCACCCACAAACTATATACTTGAAGTGATCAAAATTTTTGTGCAATATAAGTGCTTGAGTTCGTATCAAAACGACTTGTATCGAAACGACTTTGTATCAAAACGACCGAACTTCAAGCTGTGTGTGCGATAAGCGAGGGTCCCAGCAAGTCACCCTCTAACAAAATCATTAACTAAGACGAGCAAGAAGGAGAGAAATGAGAGAAATGCTTGCCCAAAGGACAAGCTGGAATTCAAGTTTTTCCAAGCCCTTGTTGTAGCATGGAAAAAACGTTAATTTTTGGACAGAAATACGTGGACCTTCGTATTAGCAATGCAAGAAATTTATGGAAAAAGATTTCATTTTTTTCCTTCGATCATAATAATGTGATATCCAAATTTTGTCTTGACGGGTGGGTCTGTGTAAGATGGTCTGTCCACTGTACTGGGTGATAGAGCAAATGCAGCTTCTTGAAATGGACCAACCTTATAAACAAGAATAAAAAACATCTGGCCCCAGTAGTTTAAAGATAAGATACCACTATCCATTGGATAAGTCACTTTCCAGGAATAAGTCCTCGGGAAACCAATTGCGCTATTCAGTGCATAGAGATTTATCTGGCGGATAGCGTTATTCACCTTTGAACAACTGGGGCAAACAGCACAGAAAGAACCAACAGCAAAAAAAAATAATAAATGTTTACAATGCACAGCCAACTCTCTCTAGGATAGACATTGTTAGGACCAGCACCAAGTGTGCATAAAATTTCAGGCCTGCTTCTGCAAAAATATTATATCCCCTTTGCCATCTGAGAAATCCTTTAATAACCACGCTTGGTATCATTATATGTGTCTGGGAAACTGCCCACCTACCCTTCCCATAAGCCAACATTTTGCCCTAAGTGAGAAGTAAGTGTTAAAGTTGGCTTAGGGGAGGGGTAGGTGGGAAGTTTCCCAGAAACGTATAATGATCCACTTGTTCTGTCAGGATGGCTGGATATTAGCCTAATTCTTTTCGTTTTTTTTTTAGTTATGGACCTCAAATTCATCTTGGCCCATAAAAAGGTAAAAGAAGAACTTGACTAATAACCAACCATCTTTACATCAGCCTTAGTGAATAACTTACATCTTCTAAAGAGAAGTGTTCCCCTTAAAGACAACTTCACAGAAAATAATTATTACTTAATAAGTAGGGACCAACTCTGTCTACTACAGACTGAGGGGTCTGTTCAGAGAGATTCAACTCTATCTGCTAATGAATTCTGTATCTTACCATAGATCCCCTTGTCATCCAACCAAGATCTCCCTAATGGGTTGAAAGATATAGGTACGGTCACAAAGGTTGCACCTATTCGCACATGAAGTCAATGATAACCCACCTCTTACATAGCCTTTGTCAGACTCTTGAGGGTGAGGTATTGAGGAGATAAGAACAAAGGTTCATTTCCCTTCCCTAAACCTACTCCTTGAACGGAGAGCTTGCTTAGAGACATGACTACCAAGTTTGGTCATAGGTTGGTCACTTGTAAGTTCTGGACTAATTGATTACCTTGCAGCTGCACAGGACCTGAAATGATCCCGGCCTGAAAAATAATGATCCCAGCCCTGAAATGATCCCCAAATCGACCCTAAAACAATCCTTACCCCAAAATGATCCCCATTTTTTGTTCCACAATGACCCTGAAATGATCTTCAAGTAACTCTTGGAGTGGTAACTGTAACTGGGGATTTTGGAAGGTGTATAAGCCAACGGGATTCATTTGAATGGTCAGTCTTTTCGATTCCATCCACAGACTCAACAGTTATAAATACATACCATGTGTTCAAAATTTGTTCCAGGCTCAACTTTTTTTTTGCATTCAGTTAAACAAAAATGGACACTTGGCTACTCTGCAAATACAGCTGCCTCTCAAGAACCTCCCCCCAAACCCACCTGTCGGACCCTACCCCACTCTATTGAAAGGTGGCTGTATTTGTAAGCCATCTATTGATTGATAAAATTTCTATTTTATGGCAGGATTTTGTACAAAATGATTCTCAAGGAAAATAGACTTGTCTGGTTAAACTGTACTGCACATTCAAGTTTGATCATTACCCCTTGTCTTGCTTTATCTTCACTGTATGCTGTCGCTACTTCACTAAACTTTTGGCCTTCCTTTAACTTGGCCATTGCCTCCATCACCTTGGAGTGTTTCTCACACAAAATATGACGAACCTTGTGGAATTGTGATTTCATGTGAATTAGTCAATTGTCTCTAAATAACAACAACAATCTTTATCACTATAATGACTTGTATGTATTCTTATCTTCTCCATGTGCAAAAGATAAGAGTGAGCCAGTCCACTTTGGGTCAGAAATATTAATTTTGTAAACAGGATCATTCCACATGATGGTTGCTCAGTATGATTCTGATTCTGATCTTTTTTTTAGTCCAGGTAATAAAACTGGCACACTCAAACAAGATTTTTTCCACATGTCACCACTTGAATACACTCAGTCATGTCATGAAGTGAACAATAAAAGTTAAAATATATATCCTAACCATATGCCTGACATACAATGTATAAGCTTACAGTTTATAGATCAATTAAAAAAAGTACATTAACAAGAAAAGCCCAGCATTGTCTGTGCTAACTCCGCAAACTCTGCCTGGATGGGACTTAGTACAGTTTGACCAACACTTTCACCGACCTTCCAACTCTAATATTGATTTGGTCATGAGACTCAAGATTTCAGGAGTCATCTCATGATTTCACCTTGAAATATCATGGGTTCCCACAATGAATTAGAATGGAACCTCAATCACATCAGATAAGGCCTGAACTTCAAGTCTTTTGGGCTTACGTTTCTTCTCATTGATAAAGCTCCTTCTCATATCAAATCTTAGTGCAAAGTCCCCTGGAAAGGCTTTGTTTCATGTGTTCAGGACTCTCCGCAGACCATCAGCGTGATGAACACAAATGAGGGCCATATAATTAAGGTACGTATTTGTCTAATTTTGTGTTAATTAATGCTAAAAGAGCACTAATTATGGCAGTTTGAACACTGCTAGGTACTGTTAGCATTGAGATTCCTTTGTTTTTAAACATTTAGGTAAATCGCACTGTTTGGGACTCAGATCTCAAGATTTTTGGGGGTAAATTTTGGAGACCTCAAGATTTGGGAGTTTTAGATGTTGGAAGGTCTGCTTTCGACACTCGACATACCTTAACAGCAGTTCCACCCTTTTTAGTCTTGCCTCCACTTGCTCCTTCATCTTCACCACCACCTCCACCTAAAATGAATAAGTTAGGGGGTGTTTACATGAGAAAACTCGCAACAGAGCGAGTTTCATACTGGGATATCTTTTTTATTTTGTATCGTGTTTACATTATGACTGGGTCATTTCATATCTCTTTACTTGCAGGTACACTTCATGTTGATAAAATACATGTAAGATTCAAAATTGCAAACATTATACATGCGCTACCCGTTCCAGTCTACCAGCAGACCAATTTCACACCGAAACGTTTGGTCGTTTCGCATTTACATGATACCATCCTCAGCACAACAACCGGGGTGAACTCATGCCGGGGTGACTCGCGCCGGCATGACATTTTGTGGTGTTATCATGTAAACAAATGTAGAGCCATGAGAGGGAACCCCAGTGAACTCACTCTGGAGCGAAAGTTGCCCCGGTGTCATGTAAACACCCCCTTATTGTACACGGAATATCCAACACAAATGGTGGAATAGGGTGGCCATTCTTGACATGAAAACCCTTTTAAAGTTTTTTCTTCAATATCATCCAACTCTTTTCTCCAGTTTATCTAGGAATTTGTATGTGTCACTGTGAATACCTTGATAGTCGCATTCAAGGAATAACAAATTTAATACCAACTCCAGTAATTTTAAAATTAAGGTGACGAACTGTATATAATTTGAACAGATTTACACTGTTTCCTGAAGAGGCAAAAGGTACAGGCGTTCCAAAACAACTTACATTTTAGAGTTCTGTGCTTTGTAAATACTCCAACAAAGACAGAGCCAGAACAAAAAAATGTACATACCTTTGGATCCTTTCCCTTTATCTTGTTTTCCTCCACCAGCACCTCCTCCGCCTCCTTTTCCTTTCTTGGGTGGCATTTCACGGCTTATTTTTCAGATTTTTAACGAATAAAGTGTATCTTTATCTACCTCATGCAAACAGTGACTTTGAAGCAGCCATCTTGAAAGTAGTCGCGTAAGCCTAGGGCGAGTTGTAATTGTACGGCAATTTTTCTTGACAGCGGACCTACCCGAAATGGAAACAGCTTCATGTAGTAGATAAAGATAGCTAATGGCCTATCACTGAAAATCAACCTCTGTAAAGGTGTCTAGAACTTCAAAAAGCCTCTAAAATTAGCTATGGAGATTGGCCCAGCTCTTCCTCCACACCTTGCGAACAAACTGAACTCATCAAGGGACGACGAAGATGAAAATGAAAAAGATGAAGAAGGGAAATCGGATAGTGATGAAGAAGAGAGTTATGGACCAGCTCTTCCGCCTGGATTTCAAAGCATAAGTACAGAAGCTGTTTCCAAGCCAAGAATTATAGGACCCATGAGACCACAGTTTGACACTACACGTCCACCTCCAGTAACGTCAAACGGTTTGTATGGAAATAATAGTTATTTCACCATTAAGTCTGTCTCAAATGAATGTCTTCTTTTGAACAAAGCCATGTAAGAGAAAGTTAACTCCCCCTTGATTTGGTTTTAAATGTACGTCTGGTCCTAGTTATTCAAAATATGGTTAACGCTATCCAGTAAATAAATCACTATCCAGTGAATAAATCACTATCCAGTGAATAACGCAATTGGTTTCCCTAATACTTATAAACAGGATAGTGATTTATCTAGTGGAAAGTGATATCGAATGATTGAACAACTAGGCCCGGGTTGAGGGACTCCACATATAAAGGGGCTGGGGATGCTCGTTGTCTCGCTTAGGGGTGTAAATTTTGGATTTTGGTCTCACTTAGGGTGTTCTGGGCAAAACGCCATCATATTTAGCAGTGAAAGTCTTGTTCAGGGTTGCACGTGAAAAAATATAAAAATATGTTTATTGTCTGTGTTTTAACATGGTCTCTTTTAGGGGTCAAAAAATGCTTGGGCTATGCCCGGATGGGTCTCTTTTGCCAGGGGTTTAATTCAAAATTTCCAACGAGCATCCCCACCCCTTTCATATGCAGAATCCCCCTCCCCTCCCGGGAACTACGCACAGAACATGACAAACTCAATAAAGATTGTCAGTTGCCCCTTAAGCAGCTGATAATTTTGTATACAATTTAACAATTTTTCAACTGCAGCTATTATGGTCTTTTGTACAAACAAGTGGAAAGGGTAAATTAAATCTCCAGTGTATCTTTCATTTAGTAATACCAGCCATATTATTATAAATTTATCAATAGCTCAAGGAAGAAGTGATGATGATAGTGATGATGACATCATTGGACCCAGGCCACCATCCAGTGCAGTAAGTATCACAATAAAGCTTTTACCCTTTCTGTATCCATACGACCAATTTAGTCATTAATTATCAAGGTGTTCATTAGGCATCGGAGATAGGATAATTCTCCATTTACTGTACAGAATTCTCCTGTTAATGTTCGGTAGTCTATGACTAGTTTTTATTCAGACGTGGAGCCTCTTTCAAAGCATTCTCCTATAATATTACACCTTTCTCCTCCTACTGGAATTTTTAATGAAAACCCTGAATTATCAACTGAGTTGGTTAAGTTAATGCAGTAACCATAAAGAGATTTGGAAAATGACATTTTGAGAGCTACCTCTTAAGTATCATTCTTGTTGATACCACGTACACTATCACTACCCACCCAAATACCACTACCACTGCTGTGTTTTTAAACTTGAAATTACAGATTTTGTTTTTGGCACTCTTGGGATTAAAAAAATTCTGTCATTAACAAGCCTTGTTACTGGGTCACTGGCTTTCCACACCAATAACCTTTGTCTCAAAGTCTATTAAGTTAAAGAAATGTTTTATTACCAAAGTTTGCCTGTTTATAGTAATAATAAAATAATGCTGTTACAGGACATCGAGGTTGGCTTGGAAAGAACAAAAATGGATATAGAGGCTCGCAGTCAATCAAAAAAAGATCAAATGTCTGGAAAGGTAAGTTTTCAAAACAATCATATTTGACGACTCCTCAATCAAATGCCGTCTTTGTCTCTTTTTTGGGGAGAGTTATTTGCCAGTAGAATTTCTGTTCATTGGTCTTTATGTAAGAAAGATCCAAAGGTACAGTTTTCCGGAGGCATGATGTAGATCAAGTGAAGGAGTAAATCTTCATCATCATTTATGATTGGAATACATGACACTACCCTCTGGGGAGTTTGGGGGGGGGGGGGGTGGTACTCTATATAATGGCCTATACGGGAAGGCTCCACCCAAAAGAGGTAAGCTTTTCAGGCTTCAGGTATATGAAAGGGCAGGGATTTCACTAGTTGAAGTATATGAAAGGGTAGTGAAATCTGTCATTTCAGTCTGTGAAAAGATCTAAAAAGGCTAACAGATGCATTTTATGGCTGTGAAAAAGTCAAGAAGACGTTCTGGTTTTGTGATTTATTCATATTTAAAAGACAGTGCATTTACACCAGTTAAAAGGGACTACACACATGAAGGGGATACCATTTGTCAATAGAAAGTATACAAAAGGGAAACAGGCCTCTTCTGTAGAAAAGGTATATAAAAGGGTAACAGGTTGGACCTCCGGGAGCCTCCCCTTATAAAACTTTGTTGAGTACCTCCCTTGAAGCATCACCCAAGGCCAAACCCAACTCAACAAAAGTTTTGAAAATCCCAGTAATTTTCAATTGCAACTACAAGCATGAACTTTTCTCATCGTTTTGGGAGAGTAGCCTGTTCTAGGCTCCAAGTCAGTTGGGAAAACAGATCTAGAAAAGTTGCCTGGGGAAGTGGAGCCTCATTGTTTTCAATAGCTCATACATGTACATACTGGTATACCCTACGACTGGTACGTTTTGACAGTTAACATAAACACTTTGGCTTGGCAATCACTTGGCTTTGCATGTGCATAGCTGTGCAGGCTTAGACTAAGTTGTACAAGGACAGTACAAATTTAGCCTTAGGGTTGGTAAGTTTGATGTTTAACACCCATGAGATAATGATCATGTCAATGATAGGAGCTTCGCTTCATAGTGTGAACCCTTTCATGTAGTCATCATCAAATTTTTGAAGACATTTCTGATTTGATTTTTCAGAAAGATACCAAGCCTAAGAGAGATTCATGGATGACAGAGCTACCTCCAGATTTGAGTAAAAACTTTGGTGAGTCTTCATATCACGAAAACGTTTCACGGGGTGTGAATACACTATACTAGATAGCTTTTTGTGCAGATATAAAAAGCTCTCCGGTACTGTATGAACGGCAGCAGCACATAACTGGAACAAGTTATTCACGCACATTGAACGTTGTACTGGAGCGGTTGGCTGAGAGGGTTTGTTGCCTTGACTCCAGCTACTCACTTCTGAATGTTTACTTCCGTCTCATTTGGTTCAAGTCCTCGCTCCTACTCATTTACTTCCGCTGCGTTCCCAATAACCTTTCACAGGGGGGGGGGGCTACATGTACAGAGAGTGGCAAAAATCTTTCCAACATGTGACAGTCCAGGTTCAAGATCTGCTTGGTGCAGCTTCATTCCGTTACAGAAATGGCGCTGAAATCACTGTTCTGTTTATTGGCGGATCCAGGGGAGGGGACCAGGGGGCCTTTCCCCCTCCCCCTTCTTATTTTTAGACCAAACTGATGACCAAAGGAGAACGCCCTCCTCCCCTTATCTCAGGGTCTGGATGATACCCCCCCCCCGCCCGCCTGAACATATGGATCCGCCACTGCTGCAGTGTTAACAGAAGTCCTAGCCGGTATGGTTTTGGTGCTGCTGTAAATCCATCCGGTTTAGTGGAAACATAGCCTTGGCTTCTTTATTCTTATCCGGTCCTTGAATAATAAGTGTATGACAGAACTCTCGTGATTTGTAGGTCTTGGACCACGCAAGTTTCGAAGCCGTGCAATTGAATTAGGAGATCAATCAGTTTGGACTGACACACCAGCAGACAAGGCCAGAAAGGTAGTCTTATCTATATAAGGAAGGAGTTAGAGTAGAACCTTGATAAAACGCAAAAGTTGAGCAAGGTTTAATTTACGTGCGACCTTCCATACATTGCCTCTATTCATTTTTATTTCCGCGCGTAAAATTTACGTGCTTACTCAAGTAAAAATTACCTAACCTACAGTGGAAATTCTCCTTAAGACAAATGAATATTTTTTCAGGCAAAAGAGGGCGACAAAGGCTCTAAAAGAAGTGCCACTGATGAGGAACCTCTCAGAACTCCGTGGGAGCTGGCAAGAGACCGAGAGATGACTAACCAAGTTGAAAACCATAATGTATGCCAAATGCACTTGCGTTTGTTTTATATGCTATATCTTTCGGAATCAGCTTGAAAATTTTGACTCATGCATTTTTGTAAATATTTGTTTACTGATGAATCAGTGCTTTCTCCTTCAGAAACGACACAGAGGTGAATCACTAATGGATATCCACAGTAAGAAGCTTGAGAAACAAAAGGTAAAGAATTGATTTACTTCTTTTTACGTAATGGAGTCTCGTGGTATTGGGAAATTCCGCTGATCATTGAGCTCTTCAATCGGGTTATATAAAAGTCTCTTTGCCTGTTCTCCGGCGCCCGGTTTTTCGAAAGATGGTGAAGTTTAACCCAGGATTAACCCAGATTTTAAACAAGGTTTTCTTGTCTAAGAACATGCAACTCGAGCTTACAAAATACTGTTGAGTCTTTACTTCGATATTCAGTGATGATAACACAGAATGTTACTCTAAGAAATGCATAGGAAGGTAAATACATAAATGGGACAAAAATTTTTAATCCTGGATTAGCGCTAATCAGCCTTTCAGGAGCCGGGGCTGGGTCTGTACCAAACGGCGGCCATTTTCATCCTCCTCATCATGCTTTCCACAACAGTCTCCCACAGTGACACCGTGCGGTTCCTACATGAGGGATTTCAGATCTGTTACTTCCTATTTCTGTTTCCGGAGCTAAAAGCTGATGAGCGATAGGTTAGCTACCGTGATCGAGAGGTTAGGGTCCATAGAAGAAGTGATGATATTACATCCTTTTCCGCTCTCATGCAGTGTCCAGCTAGCCTCTCACGTAGACGTTCTTAGGGTTTCGTCACGCGTTCCTGTCCCATGCGTGATGAGTCAAAAGAACGTTTCCGAGGGAGGCTAGTGTCCAGCAAAATGAAGAAGACTGCAGCGCTGAAGCTATTCCGTATTTGGCGGGCAGAAGCCTGGGTAGTCGGCTCCTGAAGTGGGCTAATGTAAAATAGAATAAAATAAAATGAGCTTTTCGCCGGGACAAAGAAAACTGCCGTTATAAGCAGATGCCCCTGTCGAGTGGACGGCGGTAAAGCAGAGTTTTACTGTACCAATTTATGGCTCAGTCAATCCCAAGCGTGCCCATTCCCCCGAGCAATTGTTGGGCAGTTGTCTTTTTTTAAACTGCTGTTAACGCCCCACGCTGGGGCCAAATGGTTCACACAAAAACCCTACGCTTCGGCTTAAAAATGCCCGGGGGGAAGGGCACGTTTGGAATTGTCTATAGGCAACCCAAAATATCACTCGCTTTTGGTCATGAACTAATCAAAGTTTTGATTAATTTTCTTCTTCAGGAAAGAGATAAAGATAAGCCAGTAGAAAGAAGACCATTTGACAGAGAAAAGGATTTAAATTTACCAACCATGACTGACGGCCAAAAGAAGTCAATTATTCGCAAATCCAAAGAACTTGGCTCCAGGTTTCACCATGCTCAATCTGGTTCCTCGTTTCTTTAAGAAGTCTGTGAACTATCACCCAGGTCACTCGCATCATTCAAACAGGGCCTGCCTTTCGTCTCGCCAGTCCGCGTCGCCGTTTGTCAATGTTAGCTGATGCAAATATACCTAAAATTTATGATAACAAAAAATGATAACAACGCAAGCTGCACCCTCGTACCCAGCGTCTTCGTTCCCCTTGACCAGCGGTCGGGAAACAGCGTCAAGCCAGCATGCGCAGTAAGGGACGAAGACTCGAGGTACGAGATTGCGCAAGCTGAATCTTAAAAGGTTCACAAAACTGTCATATGAGTTGGTGGAACTTTGTTTCATGCAAATACGCTGCGTGAAACCTTGCTCAAAGTGATCGGAAAAAATGTCTTCTTGATCATCCGTTGCTTAGAAAGTGCTTGACCGCCAATCTCATTCTGCTTACACGAGACACCATGAGGCAAACTGAAAAGGGCGGCAAAGTCCCTTTATTTTATGAGATTGCTACTCTTATGTTCACCATTTTCACATGGACAAATAATGCACCTTGTTTATCCCCCCAAATGCAGTCGTCCCAATGGTTTTGCAAAATTTTGGGTGGTAAACTATGACAAAGTACATTATGGTCTCTCAACCAATCCATACCAGAGCAATAAAGTTTGCTTTACTTCACTTGACTTTGCTTGACTTTTCTTTACTTTACATTTGATGTTGTTAACGCTCGTAAAGGCGACGGGACTCTGGTGGTTGTAAGCCGATCGTATGCGGTAATTAAATATAAACCAACTTTTGTGTAAACAAGTTTACTCCTAAGATCCTGCAAATAAAGTGTTCGCACAAAATGTTCACAGTTCGTTAAGTGGTTTTGCGCAAGGTAACTTATTGATAGCCTGTGCCAGGCTCTCAGATAGTATAGTGGGAACGTATTAAAACGAGCAAAGCGAAAATAAGACGGGCACGACTTGGGAAAGGGGTCTCTCCCCAGCCCCCGCGCGTTTTTCGCATTTCTTGTACTGAACGACTTTCCACCACCATCTCGGAGCCTGGAACAGGCTAACTTATTGATGACTTTATCGTCATTATTTTGAACGAATGAGTAACAGTTGGTTGCTAAGTTAGGAAATACCGTTAAGTACGCTGGGACTAACACATAAGTCGTGGTAAAACGGTTTACGGTACGTTCACTGAATCCTAATATGTAAGACGTAAAAGAATTCTAGAGGCGTAACAAATCTCTCGTGCAGGACGATCGAGAATTGGTTATCTTTTCTAACTCTGTGTTGGCATCAGTGACAGTTTCTGTGCTGATAATTTGCCCGTTCACAGCGTTAACATGGCTAGAGTGGGTTGGGAGTCGCTAGGCCTCATTATTCCGTGTTGTCAATGCGTATCGGGTCACGTGGTCCAAGGGAAGAAGATAGTGTTTCCCTCCCGTTCGCCTCGAATACGTCACCGTTGAAGTAAATTGGCCGAGAAGGCCTTGGAAAATGCCCTACAGGGACTTGGCTAGGTTGGGTAAATGCTTCAGCCGGAAAGGGGCCTGAAACCCGTGTTTAACAACATCAGTGCAGCCCTATTCTATATACGGTACGCAGACAAAGGCTAAGCTTCACCGCCAGGTTTGCAATCTACCGGCGCCATGCGATACGTGCTCGTCGTGTTCGAAGACAGATCAGAACAGATAAAATTAGGGTGAAAAACTAGAGTTATCTAGCAAAAACTTAGACAGTACTCCCCCCCCCAATAAAACAAAAAAAATGAGTTCTAACCCCCCCTCTGTTAGGTTAAAAATAACGTCGCCATATCGTTATTATGTAACATCTAGTATCGAGAAGGATGTTGATCGCTAGATTGAAGATTTAGACAAAGCATTTGCTAAGTACCGGGGTGCTTACGCCATTGGCTCAAAATCTAAAACTTCTGAAGCCACAAAGAGAAAGGAGCACAGAAAAAAATCAAAGAACAGGAGATTGAACGCTTCAAATAACAGACGAAAAAGAGCTTGCATTATATTTAGATCCTTGGGAGGAGAGCCTGTTGAACTTTGTTATGAGCCAGATAGATATGGAATTCAGCAAATCGATTCATTCGATGAAGAAACATTACTTTTATTCACATCAAAAACCGACAAAGCTTGTCTACGAGATCTGTTTGATTCCTATTGTTTTATGGGGGAAGCTGAAAAACAAGTTCATGACTTTTGCTTTACATAGGATCAGCTCAAGTAATTAGAAGACGGGTTAAAATTGATCAGTTGTGAATTTGCTTTTCATTTTGATGGAATATTTTCAAAAATCGTTTAACAGCTGTTCGTATTGATATTTGTTACAGTCTATCATGATGCCTGTATCGAGAATCTTTTATTGCGTTTAATTTTATTTACATTTCGAATAAAACTTAAGGCCCCCTCCCCCCCTCCGTCAAATGAGTGATTTTACTTTGAGCCACCCCTATCTTGGCAGCAATTTTATGTAATGCCCCCCTCTAGTTTTTCAGCCCCCCTCCTGATAATTATTGCACAGTCCCTTACTGATAACTATTTTTTTCGGATAATTCTATCCGATACTCTTAACATGAATTGCGTTTGGCACGCCTCAAATAAATCAATTCGCAAACAGAGTCAAAGAATTACCCACAGATAAGACCATTTACATGCATAATGCTATCTGGCACGTGGCGTATTTCCTTTTCTCCTGCCCTTAAACAGACCCCCTAGCTTAAGTGCGAGTTTCAGTAGTCTTCTTTTTGTCTGCTTAACTGACATTTTTGCAATAATAAGGCAAAGCTGCTCTTGCATTAAGCCCCATCTTACATTTACAAGTGCATGTTCCGCTCAAAGGGTCGGTTATTAGATCTCGTCCAGGCTGTATTTGACTTCATCAGACCAGATAATGGTTGATTCATTGAATTTTTTGCCTCGCGTGTTTGTTAAATCATTTTTTTACGTTTGGCAAGCGAGGCCATTTGAATTTCGATGACCGATACGATAACCTAGCCCTCCCTTTCAAATTTGAAACCTCTGAATTTGAAGAGATGCGTGTTGATTGATTACTAAACTGAAATTCAACAGAACAGAAAATCTCCGGATGTTTTCTTGATTGAAATTAAACTATATTTTTTACAGACTCAATGAAACTCATTTTATATTCTTTCGAAAAAAAATCACAAGGGCAGAAAACAACTTGTAGAGTTTCTGCTCATCTCAAAAGACTAATGCCGTTTTTTGTCATCAAAATTCAGTTGCGAATCCTCTCTATCTTGTCTAAGAGCTTTGTTTAACCTTTGCGTTTCAGTCAGACATTGTAAATGTGAACTGAAGAGATATAGTGCCCTGAAAAACTTTCTCAAACGTACTAGATAACATTTGTATATCTGTTACATAATTTGATCTTCTATTACAATCGATCTTTTATTTTGAGAGCATTCTTGCTCACAGATTGAACTGGACGAGCTTATGTTATTTTAAGGTCATCAAGTCTGTTGAATGTTTGTTGTTTAATTCGTTCTAAGCCGATTAATTATGTTTAGTTATGGTGGCTTTGAAATTGCTTTTTAAGTGCTTGTTAATCCACTGCCCCGCCTCCTCTTTAGCCGGTACTGATTATGTAACAGTGTAGTCTGGTGGTGTGTCAGTGAATCAAGGTTTAAGTCTAGTATTAGCTAGTAAGAGTGGCTGAAAACACTTCGTATTCACGCTTCACTATAAAGCAAACTCTGCGGTTTGCTTTATATGAAGTAGAATGCAGTTTCGGATGTTAACATCGATACCATACATACTGTAAGTGTACGATTCAAATGAAACGCGCGGGATACGTTTGGCACAAGCACTAACTAAAAATAATATTTTGAAAGCCCTGAATTGCAGCATATTATGTTGGTGTGGGAGGTCAATGGTTCAAATAATTTCTCAAAAGTCACGGAATGTGTCCAAGTGGTACAAACCCAGACGAGACGCAATTGCCTACAAAAGCCGTGGGCGTCTGGAGCGTTATAGAAGGCTTCTTCATTTTTGCAAAAGGACCAGTTTTTGAAGGCGCGATAAACTGAGAAAAACCTCTTAAAGGGAAATCTCTCAAGCTACAATGAAGATCTCTGCTGTCAAGTGGCTCGGGTTTCTTTTACTTACCTGCAGCGCAAAGATGAGTAGTCAAGGTAAGATGCTAAAAAGTGATTTAACAAGTATGATTTCCTAAGATACAGAAGATGATCTAAATTTGGGTAAGAGATACGTCATCGTTGCCTAACCGTGTGACTGCATCGTTCCTCAAGAACAGTATGCTGAAGAAAGTATCTTGCACGCTTGAATCTTTTTTAAAACTAACTATAAAAACGCTTAACAGGCGAAACACGAAATCGTGGTGACGTAACAGAGTTTTACTTAGAGGCAGTGCTCTCGTTTGACAGGAAAACCAGACAATAGAGAATGCCCCTGACAGCACACACAGAAAAATATGTTTTTTTATCACACAAGAGAGAAAATGGGGTTAAAATTTAATCTAATGCGTGTAGAGAAAACAAAACTACAGATAAGTACTCTTCCAGAAGAAACAAAATAGCAACGGAAGTACTTCAAGTACTTCTTGTCAGTTCTTTACCGATAAAGCAGCTCTAAGGTTTTGTTTGCTTCCACCCTAATATCAGGGCTGGTATTATTATCAATTAACAGGGGCACCCAACGTCAATTTTTGGAAAATATCTGTTCGGAAGACGATTTGAGATCTAGAATTTTCGGAATATTTGTTGTAAAATTTCTTGCTTGCCTGCCTCTCCTAGGATTTTCGAACAAACAAAAAATGGTATACTTGCCCATTTTTAACTAATTTTTACCCTAAAAAGTTCACCTAGAATTTTCGGGAGCCTATTTTCTGGCTAAAATTGTCGAAAAAGTAAGTTTTGATCCCTATAATTTTCGGATCACTAGACTTTCAGCTAGGAAATCCGAACAGCTGAAAAATTTTTAGGGGGTAAAAATATGCCTATATCTACCGTTTAAATACTAAAATACATTCAACAATGCTATGTTTAAGTGGTTTTGAACTATATTCTCGTTGGGTGCCCCTGTTTCATTGAGGCGGTCTGTGAAATCACTTCATGAATAACAGTACTTTCGAACAGCGACGTTTTTTTTGTTGTTGCTTCGTTTAGACTTTTAGACTGAAAATGAATTTTGTATGTATTTTATTTTGGGGTATGCTATTGAGAATGGAAACAATAAACGTGCTGTTCGGTTACGAAAGGCATATCTGAATCTAATTTTTTTTTTAATAGACCAGCACGACTGTAGAAGCACTGTATGGAATGGGGGTTTGAGTAGATAATCCCTTTATATTCGGAGTATCCAGAATATATAGAAAATCCAAGACTATAAGACTGAAGGCGATCACTAGTATAGGGTGGTATAGTGAGTATATAATGACTGAAAAATCTAAGCTGTTGCAGGCAAGGCTATAATAGCAAAAACGTGTCAGACTTTTCCCGTTACGTGTAGCCATACCGATTTTAGTACTTTGTAACATTAGACCGAGTTCAATGCAGTTTCGTAAACTTCTCCTTAATAAAGATGGTTTCAGGCCTGTTCTGATCGAAATAAACTCGCCTTTTCAGTTGGTATTTTGTCTGACAATCTGATACAATGATATATGACGTTCACATAAGTATAAGAATCGCGGAGAAGACCTTCGTTGAAACAACAACAACAACAAATGCTTTATTTGCATGACCATAAATGAGTTACAGTATTGCGAAAGCTAATAGTCTAAATTTAAGAACTAATGCAACTAATTAGTACGTACAAAACATTACAAAACGTTACAGTTCTCATTCATTCATTCATTGATATTAATTTGGTTCTTAATTCAAAGCATTGCGAGATAAATGAAACTAATTGACAGTTAATCAAATAATCAGAAGAATTCATAAGAAGAGATATTAAAGTATCGTGTGAAAGTGATTTGAAGTCAGGTATTTTAGTTCCTAGTTTGGAGAAAAATGTGTCTCTGATCTGAGAATAAGCCTTACAATCTAGTAAGAAATGATTTTCATCTTCAATTTTGTTACCTGTACAAAAGTAACGTATCCTTTCATCGCGAGGGATTTTTTCGTATCTACCTGTTTCAATTCTAAGTGTGATGACTACTTATTCTAAATCTAACCAATGCTTTTCTCCAAGGGTTTTTTCTTATTAAAACAAGGTACGGCGAGGGGCTATATTCGTCTTTGATTGTACAATAAAAACTGAGTTTTTGTGATTGTTGAAGGGTCTGATTCCAGTACGAAACGTGTTTATTTTTCATTATGTCGATATACCGATTAACTATTGAGTCAGTCAATGAATTACAGGAAAAGTCATAGTTTAGATCATAGTACTCAACCATTTCACAATATTAGAGTAAAAGCTAGTTTTTCCGTTATGCTGAAGGTCAATTGAAATTTGTAAGGTCTGTTTAACTATAGAATCTTCATCTTTACCTATCAGATAGTCTAAGTAATTTAGAATCTTTTTATTTATATCAATGATCATGGGGAATTTACCGAGTTCAGCTCTACAAGCAATGTTGGATGCCTTGTTATGTACTTGTAAATAACGTTTACAGAATTGCAAATGGGTTTTTTCAATTGCAGAGCCTGTCCCAGGACTTAAAATCTGATTTAACAAAAGCACCCCAAATTTGACTGTTGTAGGTTAGAATTGGTGAAATCATCGAGTCAAAGCAAGTCATGGCTTAAGACCATTCAAATCCGTGTGCCGCCTTAGGCTGAAGAGCGCATGGAGAGCTTTTTGTAGGTGTTAAAGCGAAAGTGTAAAATTTCCGGAAGATGTGATGCGAGTTCCTAAGTAAGTATAGTTTTGGACAACGTCGATTACTTCATTGCCTATGCGGAAGTTATGTTCACATTTTCGAGTGCATCGTTGAAAAATCATTATTTTGGTTTTGTTAGGATTTATTCTAAGCATCCATGAGTTGCAAAATGAAGATAGTACGTTAAGGCAGTTTTGTAGACCAAGTTTGGATCGCGATAATATTATCAAATCATCTGCGTAAAGGAGAGAGTTGAGTCTGGTGCCATTTGGTAACACGAAAGGGTCTGATAAAACATTGTCAAATGAGAACGCTAGATCGTTAAGGTATGAGTTGAAGAGCAGAGGGCTTAATGCAGCCTTCCCGCACTCCTCTTGCGTATTGAAAAGATCGCGTTTTGTTACTTCCAATCCTGACAGAGCAGGTAGACTTCGAGTATAGACTCTTAATTAGACTATAAAACTTTCCTTGGACATTGATTTTAGATAACTTATAGAGAAGCCCATCATGCCAAACCGAATCAAAGGCTTTCCTAAAGTCAACAAAACATGCATATATTTTCTCCTTGTGACAATGGACATATTTGTCTATTAATGTTCGAAGGGTTAGGACATGATCTGCTGTTCTATCATTCGCTAGAAAACCAATTTGAGACTTGTGAAGTATATTATTTAAGTCAACGTGCTTTAGAAGTCTCTGATTGAGAATTGAACAAAATAGTTTTCCAATGCAACTAGAAATACAAATTCCACGGTAGGTTGATGGATCGCTTTTAGTAGCACATTTAAAAATTGGTGTAATGAGGCCGTCACACCACATTTGGGGCATAGTTCCTAAGTCGAGGACCGTGTTAAATAGTTTTAGATAAACAGGCATTACTTCGTTTAAGCTAGATTTGATCATTTCGTTTTTGATTTTGTCTGAAAAAGAAGATTTTTTGTTTTTGAGTTTTCCAGCTGCAGTGCGAATTTCACTTTCAGTAATGAGGTAATCCAAGGAGTGAGATCGTGTTGGAATATCCTTTTAATTCTTCAACTCATCAATAACTGCCTCCTGCTGTTCGTTAAGAGGTTCATTCGAGTGCAGAGATTGAAAGTGGGACATCCATTTTTCTTCAGAAATTGGAGGGGTGTGGGTTTCCTTCATAGTGTCGTCCATTGACTTCAAACAGTTCGAAAAGCCCTTATTGTTCGAATTGTCGACCGTATTTTCAAGTTCACAGATCTTATTGCTATAGTATTCGTTTCTCTTATGTTTCAAAAGGTTTTTATATTGCTGTAAGACGTTGTGATACTCTTCCCTGAGGGTATTGTTTAGAGGATCTCTGTGTTTTTGATTAGAAAGTTTCCGCAGTTCATGTCTTTTATAGCGGCATTCTTTGTCGAACCATTTTTTGTTCGAAGATATTTTGCAACGTCGCTTTTTTGCTGTTTTGATTTTCAAACATCGTTTTGCGGTTGAAATAAGAATATTTTCTACTGCATCAAGGTTCATGTCAACATTTCTCGTGATTGTTGTAGTATTCATAAAATTGTGGATCATTCTTTGAATGTCTTCAGACTGTAATGCATCTCTAAATTTTTGTGACGAATCGTTTTCCCAAAAAAACTGTTTTGGAAGAGGAGTCAAAGAATCATTTATAATTGTCTCGTTTGATGAATCATTATCTTAATGACTATGATCTGATAAACTGTTCGGCTCTTTCACTATAAAAGATGTTATATTTCGTAGCAAATCTTGGTCACATATGGAGTAATCAATGACACTGATTCCCGATTTACCATGAAATGTAGGTCTGCCCAACGAGTCGCCATTAATTCTACCATTTAAAATTCTTAAGTCCGCGCTTCTCCAAATTTCCAAGAGTCGTTTTCCATGATTATTCAAATCATTATCAAAACTTTTTCGTTGGGTGGCGCATAACGAAGATTCAGAAAAGTCGTTTGTTATTATCTTATTACCTTCTTGACAAACACTGTGCGGGTGTTTGCCTACTCTGGAGTTGAAGTCTCCACTATTTAACGTGAAAAGTTACTTGAAGGCCGATAAGGCGTAGAATAGAAAAGCATTTATCGGCTTCTTAAAATAAATAACCCACTAAGGACGAGATCTGGAAATCCAAAGATTTGCTAGACCGCAGCCTAAAATAGACTTCCTTTAAATAACCGACCCTACTAGTTTTGAACCTTTCCAAAACTACCAGTTTGTTTGCTTGTCTAAACATTACCAAGCTTTAACATTTTCTTTCCTTTTTGTCCCAATTTAGTGACTCAGGGCTCTGATTTGAACCTTAGGGTCCACGCGTTGTCTCCTCGCAACTTGCAAATCACTTGGGACAGACCATCAACAGATGAGACCCTGGTTGGCTATAGCCTCGTTTTCGTTCCAGCACACCAAAGGCGAAGAACACACGTGGAACTGTTTGTAAGTACCAAGGTGTGGATGTTTTTCTCTCGCTGGGGTAAACAAAATCCTTCCAACCCTTTCACTATTAATAGTAGCTGAAGAAAAAATCCCGAAAAGGTGAAATTCTGTCAGTAATAAATTTTAACAAAAACCAAAGGAAATCAGGAAACAGTCTGGCTTCATGATCTCCGAATGAAAGAGAAAGATCCAAGACTTTCTTCATTCTTGGACAGAATAAAATGGGACAGCAAACCCCCACTCCCCCGATATCAAGAATGAAGCCGCGCGAAAGCCAAGGCTCTCCATTTTCCCATCCTTAATTTTTTTTTGGGGGGGGGAGGGGAGGGGGCGGGTATAAATTTGAGACTTGTGTATAACTGTTTCTACTGTTTTAAACTCAAATTCAGGCACTTTCTCGACGTTATTTGTGAACATTTTACTTTAGGTCGAGGCTAACCCTATATAAATGAGTCTTCAGTGATTCTATTCAGCGGCTCCGACGAATTCGAAAAGAGTAGTAAGACTTTTTCGCTGTGTTTATGACAGGTGAATCAATTTACTTTGACCAATCTACACCCAGGCATAAGATACAGAGTGAAGCTGGCTCCGCTGATGAATAATGGCAAACTGAGAGGAGCATATTCAAGTTGGGTCAATGCTAGGACCCTAGCAGGTGACAAATTGAAAAATATCTATTTTTTTTCCTACCAAACTATGAATAGCGATTGGCTGAAATGAATCGCTGCTTTATCATGTCCAACCGAAATACTACATAAAATTCAATGGTAAATGGACTCGAGTCCAGCCGTTGAGAATTCCGTTTGACATCCTGTCATCCGGACTCACAAAACGACTGGTGATTGGACATTATCGTGACACGCGAGTTTCTCCATGCAGGTGTTGGCTACATTGCGTTGAAAAGTGATTGGCTAGAGACACATTACGTTGATTTTTACTTTTGCTTGTACGATGCCCAATTAAAAATTCACCCTATTTTATCGCGGATGTTGGTCAAAAGAGCTCAGAGACTACTTTCTCCTTGAGGAACTCTTCTCAACATAGATTTGTCTTGATGCTGACATATCATAATCGTCAGTGTTATTGCAAAAACTATAAAGTTTTTTCTAAAATTTTAGATTTCCTTGAAAGTGGATTGTTATTTCTTTAAGTAGGCAGCACTTTCTTTTATTCTATTTTTCTATTAATTTGCCCTCTTTTCCTCGATCGTAACTGCAAAATTCCAAAGAACTTTTACATTAAAACGTGACACGAATGGCCAATTATCAGGACGACAAAAGAATAACAATACTAGCCACCATTTTGGATTAAGGCGTATTCGAAAAATGACTAAATCTTCATATTGAATTTGACAAAACCTACAGGAACTTAAAACCGCGGGGAAATCATCCGCTTTTCTATCGCGAAATTCAGTATCACAACGCTTTAGTTTTATAAGATTTCTTTCGCTGTATTTACATCTAGTCGGATTTTAGAAAACGGTTACCGTCAAATAGACCTCTTTCGTCAAGCATTTTTTGGGCCAAAAAATATCCCCAAAGAAGCCAGCCAATGTAATACCTAAGACTGCAACCATTACTTTTTCTCTTTTCATCCTTTCTTTCTCTCCCATCTTGCTATTTTCCTTTCCAATTCCTTATTTCCGGCCTTATCGGACACACACAAAAAAACAGTTTTTTGGCCCTCCCACTCAAATGGCTACACATTTTGCAAGGTCCGTTTTCAAAAATCCGGCTAAACATACATTTGTACAATCCAGTATGGCAGTTGATCTGTTAGTTATGGCTCCTCATGTAATGTTCTTTAATTAGCTTAACTTTCCTCCACTCACACTGATTTAGTCATTATTCGTTGCTGGAAATTCTACTTTTCGTGGCTGGCTTAGAGCCGTTGGTGCTTAATACGAGTCTGTATTTACGTGTATATAACCTGAAATCCGGAGATGGACACCATTGGGGGTGGGTTGGGGCTAGGATTTGCCTACTAATCATGGCCAATATTTTTCATAATTGGTAGAGAATACGACTGCAGCTGGCCAAAACCCGAACACATCAAACGGTCTTTCCAGCACAGGGCAAGCTTCAAACAGCAACTGCTCACGCATCAGTCAGCTCTGTCAAAACATCGGCTATAAGTTTACTCAGATGCCCAACTACTTCAAACAGCAAAATTACAATGACGCTGAATACGAGCTTTCTCAATTCACACCCATGATCCAATCAAACTGTTCATCAGTTCTGCAACTGTTCCTCTGTTCCTTGTATTTCCCTCCATGCGCGCCCAGACGACAAACCACGCCCCCATGCCGTTCTGTCTGCAGGGCAGCTAAAGAGAACTGCGAGCCGTGGATGAAGAAGTCTGGACTCAAGTGGCCCTATAAGTTTGAATGCAACACCTTGCCAGATCCCCATGAAAAAGCATGTGTAAGAAGGGATGGTGCAGTAATTAAAGGTAAGAACTAGTCATGATGTTTTTTATAATATTTGTAGCTCATATGAATCTACAATCATGGACAAAAGTCCTGGGACACTTTCGCTGTTCTGGGGCGTTTTCCAATTCACACAGGTCCAGCCTCTCCCCTCACCCCACAAAAAATGTTGGACGCGTGTATCCAGATTTTTTTTCCGAGTTTCAATTTTGTATAGGGTGGGGTGAGGGATAACTGCAAGAAAATTTCGAAAAGGATGCACTGTTTTAAGAGGGAACCGAGAAACGACAGAAAAATATGAATATTGGAGTACTGTCACAAGGATTGTAGTTTATGTCGCAACTTTTAAAAATACTTATGCCCTTTTTTTATGATTGACGCCACCTTGGTTTGGGATGAAGGATGACCAGGACCAGGAAATAAGGACGTCAACCGGAAGTAACGCCTTCTCCCTTTTTATATGCCTTGACTCTAACAAATTTGAATTGCTAAGTTTCTTTTCTCTTATGAAGACGATTTACCAGAGAGTTTGAACCAAACCATTGACCAATGATACAAAAAGTCCACTTCCGGTTGACACCCGTCGAATTTTGACCTTTTAATGAAGTTTATTATTCCTCTTTCTTACTTATACTTCGAAAGTGTTTATAGACAGAACCAGACTGAGACGGAGCCGAGCTTCCATTTTCACGGGGAAAGTGTTGTCAAATGTATCTATAAATAAACGGGTCCATGAAAACACCTCGATATAGGCACGGTATGAGAGTTGCACATTTCGAGTTATTATGGACTCCTGATATACCTAAGTAACCTCAAAGCCCGAGATGAATGATAATTATAAGTTTTTCATCATTTACATGGGCAAACCGGTCGGTCCACGGTTTGGGCAAATGGTATGAAAAAATTCAGGAGTGGTAAATTTCGTCCCAGAGTCGCGTTTACCATTTGTATAAATCACTTACATTAACCAAAAAACGACCGAAGGGCCTGAAACTGGTATCAACGATGGTTTTGAAGAAATTGAACACAATTTCCCTTTGGAATACTCCGTCCAGAAAAACAGGACTACCTTTTAAGATATTCTGTTGCTCCCTGAAATTTTCTGCAGGAACGAATGTAAGTCGCGTTCCATTTACTTTTCAAACGTATTTCCGGAAACGTTTTGTAAATAGTAAGCAACCTATCTATTGTTTGATTTTTCCTCAAAACTCGAACACTTTTTTACTTAGTTTTAACTGTAATATGTCCGTAGTGCCACCACATTGCCAACCACTCAACTCCACAATGTGCAAAAACCTTAACTACATTTACGTCGAAATGCCAAATTTCTGGGGAGACAATACACAAGAAGAAGCCGACGCAAGAATCCAAGTGTTCTCTCCACTGGTGAATTCCGGCTGTTCTCAATCACTGCGAGTTTTTCTGTGTTTGTTGTACTTTCCACCGTGCGTTGTAAATTTTAGAAAGATGATCCCTCCATGCCGAGAGTTATGCGAGGACGCGAGACGTGGTTGTAAGCCAGCGTTGGAGGGGGCTGGCTTTCCTTGGCCTGGGATAATGAAGTGTTCTCAGTTTCCTTTCTCTGATAAAAACGAATCAAACGTTTGTTTAAAACCAGAGACGCAAACAACAAAGGGTAAGAAATCTTTGTTTTTATTATCACATTATTATTATTATTATTATTATTATTATTATTATCAGTTGTAGTTGTCAGGTGCGGATTCACACCGGTTTCCACCGTTTTACGGAAATCGGTCACATTTTTCATAATAAACATACTTTTAATAATAGTAAAACTTCCCAAGTTGAAATCTGGAAAATGGTCTGGACAAATGTTTTCTTTTTTGCAGTTTCCGAGCATTAGATGCCCCCTCAATGAATCAGAAACCTGGGAAAGGGAACTTTAGGGAATTAAAATGCCAAAAAATACCCCTAGAAGCCTGCTCCCTCGGCCCCTCGTTCAGGAAATCGGTCAGCATTTATCCTAGATCCGCGCCTGGTAGTAGTGGTAGTAGTGGTAGTAGTGGAGTAGGGTAGTAGTAGTAGTGGTAGTAGTGGTAGTAGTGGTAGTAGGTAGTAGTGGTAGTAGTAGTGGTAGTAGTAGTAGTAGTAGTAGTAGTAGTAGTAGTAGTAGTAGTAGTAGTAGTAGTAGTAGTAGTAGTAGTAGTAGTAGTAGTAGTAGGTAGTAGTAGGTAGTAGTAGGTAGTAGTAGGTAGTAGTGGTAGTAGTAGGTAGTAGTAGTAGTAGTGGTGGTAGTGGTAGTGGTAGTGGTAGTGGTAGTGGTAGTGGTAGTGGTAGTGGTAGTGGTAGTAGTAGTAGTAGTAGTAGTAGTAGTATCACTAACATCATCGGCATTGGTATCGGTGAAAATGGTCAATACCATTTTCTCTTGAAAAAGATGATTTTGCAGTCAGTGAAACAGGCTGCGAAACAGGCTGCTCGGAAGAAAAAATCCGCGTACTAGAAATAGGAGTCGAACATATGACCTACCAATGAGCCACAGGAGACTTATGGAGCTAGCGCCACTAAATTAAGTAAGTTCTTGTGACAAACTAGTCTCCCTCGCAACCGTTTTTTGGATGTCACGCGTTGCGTGACATCCAAAAAACGGTTGCGAGGGAGACTAGTGACAAACATGCTGCATCATGATACGGACTAGAATGTCCATATGTGCTCATGCGCATTGATAAACTTATTTTTCTTATTTCCAATTCAGTGCCAAACGTTACACAGTCAAGGTCGCAATGCCAGCCATTGAAGATACCGATGTGCCGAAGCTTGAACTACACCCACACGATTCTACCAAATTTCATGAACCACACAACCCAAGCGGAAGTGAAGAGGGCCTTAAAAGCTTTCAGACCACTGCTCAAATCTAAATGTTCCAATCAACTCAGGAGGTTTGTTTGCTTCCTGTTCGCCCCTTTCTGCGGTACAGACGGAACCCCACTGGCGCTTCCACCCTGTCAATCATTCTGCGAGAAGATCAAGTTGGATTGCGGTCGAGTATCTCGGTGGCTGGCTAATTTAAACTGCAGCAGATTTCCTACGTTGTCTCGCAAGCGCCTTTGTTTTGGTGACCCGCTGGCCACAATGGACTGTGTTGGACGTAACAGCAGACCCTGCACAGGTGAGCTTTGTTAAATCTCTGGGGTCGACACTAAGAATTCGTCTTAGAGATGTGTTCGCTTTACTGAGAGACAATTAAAACACAACCAGTCGATGGTAGCAATGACGACCTCGACATCGACGATGACAAAGTCGGTAACGTAGCAGGCGGTACTAATTTCTCACTAAAGTGACCAATCACAGACCCCTTAATAACTGATTATGGCAACAATATCAGATGCAATACATATCTTCAGACCGGCTGGAGCGGATCCAGAAAAATTCAGAAATGGGTGGCCAGGACACTTGCCATATGGATATTACATATTTTACTGAGAATTCTTTAAAAATAGTACTAGGAAATTTCACAGACCAAAGGAGAGAGTGGCCTGGTCCCCTCGACCAACTTCAAAATTCATCTCAATGTAACTATATTTTTATCCCATGTATGGTAATCCAAGACAGTCTTGGATTGTGGATTCCACGAGCGCTGTGGATTCCGGATTCAACTACTGTATTCTATATTTGTTGTCCGTAGAACTTGGATTCCGGATTACCGCGTTTACGGGATTCCGGATTTGTTAAGCTGAATTCCGGAATTCAGAATTTCGAAGCCAATCAAGTATTTTGGATTCCATAAGCACTGAAAAATTTCCCAGGTTCCGGAATCCAGATGACATTAAATGGGGTGATATATTAGTTTATCTTTTTTTTTCTGCAGTGATTTCATCAACCTCTCCAATCATCTTAAAATGCTCCTCGCCAGGCATTCACTTCACAATTGATGCAGTAACCATTTCCCGCTACAACGGAACCAATATATTCATGTCTTCAACGGCTGATGCCCTTCGGCAGTGCAACAGAAGCCAGACACTAGTCGAAGGGAGACACGAATGTCAGTTCGACGTAAACTATGATAAACTTGGAATCGATATGCTTTCAGTGATCGCTGTTGTTGTAAAATACCATTGTCTTTCGGAGTGATTACAAAAAGCACAGCGTTAAATGACAAATTTGTGTTTGCAGCTACTGTATTGATGTTGTGGCAAAGCTTTGATAGATCGATTACGCAAGCGAAATTTGCCATTGTAAGCACAAGTTTCACAAGCTGCAGAAAGAAAAAGACTGCTACTTACATGAATAGTGCTGTTTGTTTTACAACCATGACGATGAGTCACATTTACTGTAGCAATTTAGAACAAGAACATCCAAGTGAAATAGCGGAAACAGTATTTTCTTCAAGAAATTTTGGGGTCAAATTCAAAGAAAATGGAAGAATCACTCCTCGCATATATAATAAGCCAGTTTGAGCAATCTATTGACGCGTGGCTGAGGCCGCACTTTACATAACGGGTGGTGACAGCTCTAATAAGGGCTGTTTCGGGAGAAAAACAAATTTATTCAGGGAATCTGGAGATTTTGCCGGGAATCGGGAAACCTGGGAAATTTTTCGGAAAATATAAGATATTTTCGGGACATTGAGCAAAGATTTGATATTACATGCTATCAAACAATTTATATGCACCCTATGTATGCCTGTATTTTATGAATTTGACACTTGAAAACAGGTTAACTCCCCATGATATGAAAAGACCAATCATCAACGTTTCCAACTAAAATAGCATGAACTTGGAGTGCGTTTGACCACGTACAATCCCCAGCGGATTGACCCAAGAATCGTGCCGGTGCGAGGCACATACTATCAGTATACTTAGCTGAAAGTGATATCCAGAACAATTTCAAAAACCGCACAAAATATAAAGTAACATCGACTACTTCTACGCGAAGTCACGCCAATAACAATAAGCATACAAATGACGATTTAGGCAACATTTGGACAGAATTTGTCCTCTCAGAACACTAGAAATGGCGTTTCAGAGCACCAAGATTTCAAAATTTTCTGGGGGAGCATGCCCCCAGACCCCCCTAGTGGCTGCCCCCTTCAGCGTTAGCCTGATTCGTCAGTATTAAAAAAAACCCACGATTTTATACACTTAAGTCGGACAGTCCGTCTGTGTTAACATGATACCATCGGTGTTCAACTCCTCTAAACGAAAAAATAACATAGGTTAGATAATTCACAAGTTACATAATTAACAAGAAGCTGCCAAAAATCTCTAATTAAAATTTCTAATTTTAATTGTTAAAACAATTTTGGGAAGTTAAAGATTAAACATGGAGAATGCCACCGAAAAATTCGGGAAGGTCATCCAAATTTCCGGGAGGACATAAAGTTATTCATAGGACTGCCCAAACAGCCTTTGTTAGAGTTGTCACCCCCCGTTCCTTGGGCAAATAAAGAAATCTAAAAAAATATAAGCAAGCAATTACCAAAAACGCAGGCCTCATGTATCATCTGCTTGCACTCTGGAAATTTACTGGAAGAGCTTTCCTCTTTTAAACGTCACAAATACACGGAAATAACATGCTTGTTCCCTGGGCTCGTTTACATTTTCTTCATTTTATTTTTTTTTCAAACTGTATTCTCCGTATTGTCTTCCAGCTCTGACGCCAGCACTTACTTCAAATTGACACTCCTATTTTATTACGCACAGTCATCTTGATGTTAAAATACCTTAAATAGATTTTTCTATGTAGTTATTGAATATATGACATATATATGATATATGACATATCCACTTAGAAGAGTTATCACGCACCAGTTTTTGCACTCTCGACAGGTTTATTCCGTACGCTGTAAACTTGTCAGTACACACTTGAAACACTGAAGACTCCGAGAGAGAGAGAGTCAAAAAAATCTGGTTACATTTTCTGTTCTATCTTGATGGTGTCCTAGTCTAAAACCGAGTAGCCGCTTATATACCAAAAAATGTCCTCCTGGGAGTTAATTAACATTATGTAACTAGTAATAGTTGACACTACAGCTGCCCCCGCTCTGTATATTGCCCGTTGTGTAGCTCTTTGAAATTTGCCGATTCATAATGAAGATGTTCACACATATTCCATATAATAGGTGAGATAAACACAGGAGTTAAACGCAAGGTTCCATGCACAGTTTCGGTTCGATTTACACAGCTTTGATCAAGACATTCTCAGTTTCGACAACAGTTTATTCTAAACCATAAGAAAATATTTAATTAGAAGTTTAATTTTTCGCTATTTCTCTTTCACTTTTTACATTCAGTTCATTTTATTTACCGGAAAGGAAGCCTTAGAAATTAAAAGGACGTTTGATCAATTCACACTCGCGGATTCTAGTCTTATTTTAAACTTTATAATAGTATAGTATAGTATATCTTTATCGCGCCTTACTCTCCAAAGGGAGGCATCGGTCTAGTTACAATAAAGGTTTTTTCAACTACAACAAATTTAAAAAGAAAGAAATATGAACGGAAACAACAAAATTATACGGCATATACTATATCGATAATAATTATACTATAATTTAATTACCTAATCAATTGGATTTTTGACTCAGGAACTGTTTTCGTTTTTCAAACATTAGATGGGCATATTATATTTGGCTATAATATGTGAAGTTTTGTCATTGTCCAGTCTGAGTTAATACAGCGTTCTATTATGATCTGTTAAATTGATGAACGTTGCATCATTTTCAGAAATATGAAAATAAAGTTGCTGTCTAAGACTCTCGTATTCAGTACAATCAATTAAGAAATGCTTCTCGTCTTCTATGCAGTTTCTTTTGCAAACCAAACAAAGCCTTTCCTCTACTGGTATAGAAGCTCCTTTATTTTCATATTTCCCTGTTTGTATACGTAAAGTATGAACTCCCAATCGCAGTTTAGTCATACTGATTCTATGAGCTGGATTTCTAACTATCTTTAGGTATTCAGTTCCAAGCGATAATCTTTTTTAATTTCCTTGTTTGTATTTTTTTTTCTAGAGCTATCCGAAATGTCGTTTTGAGCTTTAAACCAATCTTGAGAAAATTTTTTCTGCAGCAGTTGTTTAATGCTAGAACGAGTGTTCTTAACACATTGCTGTTTTTTTATTACCTCGTTTTTGTAGTGCATTTGTATTGTTTCGTCGCTGTTTAATAACTGACTGTGATTTCTTGCGTAAATAAAAGCTTCATGTAAGAGAGGGTTGTCTGATTTTTGTTCTAATCTTTGCCAGTAACATAAAAGGGAGGCCTTTATGTCTATAGATAGAGGGTATCGGCCAAGTTCTGCTCTTCAAGTCTTATTCCTGTCAAAGAAAGAGAAAGAGTGTCTGGCAAGGTTTCCAATCAAAGATTTCTGAACTCGTGTCTAGCAAACTCACTTTGTGTTAAAACATACATTGTTCTACGCAACTTATAACTTCATCTGCGCTTAACGAGTGTCTTTTGGTCTGCAATGTATTCCACTGCGTTTTGGTGTTGCGCTTACCAACTAATTTGCATTATGACAATTAGCACTTACACGACGGGTGCAAGGACTCGCTTGCTCACAGTGCAAGAGCCTAGTTGACGTGTCATTTCCGCTCTGGCACCCGTCGTGTAAGTGCTTGTCAACAGTGGTCACAGGCACTGGACGAAAGCCAGAGGTGCCTCAAAGTCCGGCACAAATGGCTCGATTTGATGGAGAAATTATGGATCTTTTTTCGAGCTGATCTCCAAGAGAGGAAGAAGAGGTTTCCCTCTTGGGCTGGAGGTGAAAAGTTTGCAGTGGATTTGAATTTCGGCGAAAAAACGACATTTTTGTTGCGACTGGTCCAGGACCCCGACAGATCGAAGTTCACTTCGTTCTAGGGTGTTACGAAAACTAATGAAAGGAGTAACAGTGGTTACGTAATAAAGCCAAAAAAACCAGTAAACGACAATCAGACACCAAAACGCAGTGGAATACATTGCAAGTAAGTCTTTTTATTCATTTCATTTAAGAAAAAGTAAGGTTTTGCGTTATTTAGCGTGCGCAGATCTCAGTAATATATTTCTCATACGAAGTCTCTTATATTTTCAACGGTCGCCGATAACGCGACACCGGCGCGTCACCTATGGTATGTAAATTACATTACACCCTTTCCTCGTAACGTGAGTTTGCGCCGCCTGTGCAACAACTGCTCCACGGAATGTCACTGATAACACGTAACGCAAAGGAGTATCGAAGTGTGACTGCACAATTAATGTCACAAAATCTACCTATTGTAAGCCGTTGTTTCATCGGGATTTTTTGTGTTTTACGTCATCCTAACCATTTCGTACTTGCGGGCGCAAACAATAGACAGGAGCCAGGAGCCCATCAAATTTGATGGGCTCCTGACGTGATCATTACCTACCGATTCCTCGCGGCCCCTGTTCAAGCAAATCGAGATTTTTTCTATATTGACTGTATGACTGTATATTTCAACTGTAAGTACTTTCCTTAATATACATGCGAGTTACAAGAGTGCCTCCTCGGGATTTCGCCTTCTGGGCAAAATCCCCGCAGGGGGCAATAATCGCTATTCAAATATGTCCACGCAGTAACGCCTTAGATTTGGGCGGAATGCAAAACAGTTCGTCAGTTAATTAGTTCGTACGTTCGTTAGTTAGTAGATTAGTTTGTTCAACCAACTGACCAACTAACCAGGGGCACCCATCGAGAATATAGTTCAAAACCACTTAAACATAGCATTGTTGAACGTATTTTAGTATTTAAACGGTAGATAAAAAAGGCATATTCTTATCCCCTAAAAATTTTTCTTCTGTTCGGATTTCCTACTTGAAAGTCCAAAAATTATAGGGATCAAAACTTACCTTTTCGAAAATTTCATCCAGAAGAATAGGCTCCCGAAAATTCTAGGTGACCTTTTCAGTGTAAAAATTCGTTACAAATGAGCAATTACACCATTTTTGAGATGTTCGAAAATACTAGGAGAGGCAGGCAAGCAAGAAATTTTACAACAAATGTTCCGAAAATTCTAGATCACAAATCGTCTTCCGAACAGATATTTTTCGAAAATTGACGTTGTGACTGCCCCTGACTACCTACCGACTGAACTACATTATAACTAACCAAGTTGGTAAGTTAGTTCGTTAGTTAGTTAGTTAATTACTTAGCCAGACTTAGTTAGTTAGATAATGAGCAAAATTGTAATTAATAGCGTCATCAGAGTTTCGCCTATAATCGGGTCACTATGGATGTCGAAGGAGTACTTGCTTGTCTTGCACCATTGCAAGCAGTGCTGACTGCAGGTGAAAGCTTCGGTGAACTCGCTGTAATATGCTGATCTCCACTTTCCGTACAGGGCTTTAACTGAGAACCCCCACATGTTGCGGCAGCCGAGAAACTGGTTTGATTCATCCTTGGAGTAGGAAATAGACTCAAACCCAGACTTGTAGCTTCGATATGTTTCGTTCGCTTTCTCAACCACAATTTCTCCAACGCTTCTTTGAATACCGGCATCCTAAAGCTGTACACGAATGGGTTAACCAAAGAATTGGCAAGAAGTAAAGCATTGACTGTCCACATCATGTATGGGTGAAAACTACAGTGGCAGATGTGCATACCTGTGTAAAGAGCAACCGCTGGCAGCCAAAACAGAAGCGACAAAGCGATCACCACGAAGAGAGTCCTTGAAAGTCGTGCGTTGTGCTTAGTGGTTTGACGGATGTTGACAACGGCTACTTCGGGTGCAGTGCTGCTCAATCGTGCTCGTATTTTGAGGTAGCTCGCACAAATCACCAGAAGAGGAATGAAAAGGCACAAATGTACAGCAACATGAAGAGTCTTCATCTCCATCTTTTGGTCGATATGATAGATAAGAGCCAACAGACCAAATATGAAAATTCTTACGGCCCATACGACGACAATACTGTAGATGTAAATGCGAGTGCTAGCAACACGATGACGCAACGGTTTTAACACGGCAAAAGCGCGCTCGAGCGAAATGAGGGCCAGAAAAAACACTGATACACTTAATGCAAAAAGTTGCATTGCTCCTGGTAGATCAGGTTCTCTTCTTGCCTTCAGGGGCTTCAGGTTTGACGTTGTCGCCGTCATTTTATGGAACTTGCTCGTCCCTAGAATTATGGGCTCTGTAATACCCACAAATAGGTCAGCAACGGCCAGATTTATCAAGAGATAACAAGTTCTTTTTATGTGCGATGTCCGAGTCAAAGTTGAGAAAACAAAGATGGTGAAGGCGTTTCCAAGGATGATCAATGCAACCTCCACTACATAGACAACAACGAAGATGATCGCCACGTGGTTTGCCAACATTTTCCTTACTCTATCTCATCAGTATCCGCGACACATTGCGATATCACACCACTGCAACGTTATAGTTCAAGTCAATTAAAGTATTCGTAACGTTCAGCTGGTAACACACCCAACTGCGTCTTTTCTTTTTCTTATCTTTTTTTTTGTCTTCTTTCAACAATGATGCTGGTGATATTGATATGCAACTTGGCGGTGTTGTATACATGTACTGTATATTCAAATTTCCTTCAATGGTTGTTTGACCTAATGAATAATGTCTTGCTCAGTCACCAACAGCCCTCTTAATGCTCGCTGTAGCACTTCATCTAGTGTGATCTCTCTCCAATCGTATGGGTATAAAGAAACAGTTTTAAGTTCACCTGTCAACGGAGCAGAAAGAGTTAAAGAGAGAATGTTAGGTGCCTCTTATAGTAATATCATGTCCTCACATTTCCGATTTAAATTGCCTGATAAATCATGCCAAGGCGAAAATTTGATAGATTACGTTTGAGTTTACTCTATTGTTCCTTTTTTTCCTCCAATGAAAATAAAAAGAAAGAATAAAAAGTTTTGAATGTTACATTTATCGGGATGTTTTTTTGACACGTGTAAAAAAAAATCGATAATAATATTGATATTCAAAACATCCTTAGCCGTTTTCTTAAAATTATCCTTTTGACTTTCAATTTTTTTGGAGTAACGAGATAAAGAAAATTATGTCGTTGGGTGACGACATGTCATAAGAACGAAAAATACGAAGGGGAGTCTAAGACATGCCCTGTCACCGATGCCTCATTTCCGATTGTTTGTCATAATCATAATCAGTACCATTTTCAATTATCAACGAGCGTCAGAAATGCTGACTGTAAATAGGGTTTTCCGATTTAGCGGAAGTTCTGCGGAAGTGGAACTAGCCAGTTTCAAATGAGTTCAATTTCTAGCCTTTCTGTACATGAAATTCATTTAACGCCGACCATATGTAAGTAAATTGCTGAGTTGTTTATAACTTGCACTTCACGAGACCAAATGTAGCGCTCAACTTTATATTATTCTTGAAAAGTTACATATAATTCGATTCACCAAGAAAATCAGGATTCAAGGAAGTAATTTCCATGGCCAACTCTTTAGAGTCTGAGTCTGAAAAAGACAAGAAAAATTGAAATATTCCTTTTCAGGCCCAACAAATCACGGCACGTAAATATTGCAAGCAAAAATCACAATACACGGTGAAATTCGCGCTTTGCACTCTCAGAAACAAAGGTGTAGAAGTATGAAAAGCGATGATGTTTCTAATGCTGGGTTTTTATACGGAGCGTATACGTGGGAAGAAGGTTTTCACCCTATTCTTTCTACCATCAAAACTAAGCAGGCATTCAGCCTAATTTGTTTAAACCTCCATTTTGAACGAGCTTGAAATGTGTGTTTTTCAAAAGAATAAGCATGTAACATATGTGCTGCTTATTCTTTTGTTATTTAAAAAGTTGTCATACATGAGGCTTTCTTCTGCAATCCCGCAACTTAGTGGCAACTCATTGCACCAATAACTATGATTGCACATTCTGCCCTTTGTATAATTTACTGAGCTTTTTCCATAGTTTTCAACCCTCACCCTAGCTACCCACAAAATGCATAGAGTCCATTAGATATCCACAAGCAGACGAAATTGCGAGATACGATGCCTGGAGACTTTCCGCCGTCTTTCCCAATTTGTGGGAGAGGAGAATGATATAAAATAATGTTCCTTTTCTGTTTCTCATGATTATCGTATTTATATGGCACTCGATGAGACAATGAAAACGATTCCTATTTACGTTTGACGTAGCAAATATAAAAATAACCTTCGATCAAGCCTCCCAAAGAAAACGGGAAAATCTAAGGTCCGCCTGATCGCAGGTTAATGAAGAAAAATGAGATATCGTGAGAGACTCCCTCCCTGCCCAGGATATCATTCAGTAAACAAAAGTAGGATTGTTTACTTTTTCCCTTGTTAGCGTATACGCCTTATCTTTTTTAAACGACTTTTAAAAACCGTTAGCACCGGGGGTGAATTTATTTGCAGCATATGCGTATCGGCCAAATGCGACTGCTAGACGCAAATACTGCAAACGAATCCTCTTGTTGTAAAAAAAAAAAAAATTACCAAGCATGTTTGTGCTCATTTATCCTTTTACGAGCCAGATATTTTGCATACACAATGACATCATGCAAAAATTTACTTATAACGAAAAAAATCGAGATGACCTTTTACAGTATAATGGAATCAATTTCACATCTCGGAAAAATGGCTCAAACTTCCGCTAAATCGGAAAACCCTAATGAAACATCATAATTTTTAGCGAACAGTTCTAGAAAGGATCACTGTGGACAAACTGTAGCGAGGGAAAGCCGGATCCTGGACTAGATCAGGCGGATCAGCAATATAATAAAATAACGCCCAGTTGATGGGTTATTTATTTTCCCAATATTTCGGTTAGGCAAAACTAATTTTGGGCAAATAAATCACTCATTCGTGGCTGTCCTATCAGCCTTGCCTTCAATTTTGGGTATCATAATTTTTCACGACAGGCGAAAAAAGGCCGCAATGATTAGGACGATCGAAACAACGCTTTTTGAATAACTAATAATGCTAGGGCGAGACCGTTAAGGACGTCTAAACCGCTCTGATGGCGTGTTTGAACTATCTTATACTAGTATTTGTTTTAAGCACTGAGATATTCTAGACGATTTCTTGTCTGTATTAGGGTACACACCTTCCTTCCATAGCCCTTCGGAGGGTCCTGTTCACAAGCCAATCGGGCATGAAAATACCTTGGAACGCGGTTTTGTTAAACACCAGCTAAATTCGTTCAAAAAACCGTGCCGTACTGACATTTTATTATTCAAACTTTTTGTGTATATAATTTCTCTATTATATTGTCGACGAATAAAACTCAGTTTCCGTTTGGTTTGACATGCAGTAACTTTGCTGCACTTGCAAAGAAAACAGCAGCGTTGATAACTTCGTTTTTAAAGATTTACTTATTCATGACGATGCTGAGCTGATCATCACATTTGCTGGTGAAGTGAGTGTCTTGCACAAAAATTCACATTTGGTTGTAAAAGAGCTGTGGCCTCAGATTAAGATTTCCACAGTGAGGTCCCTAATGGTTTAGTCCCAGTCACAACTAATTAACTTTCTCACTAACCGACACTCTATATTCAACACCAAACACGAGCTCCTTAAAATTTTAAGGTAGCTTCAACAGACATGAATGACATCGGTGTTGCCAAATGAAGTGGGATTCTGGTATTCAAGAAACATATTTATTTAATACTAATTTGAATGAGCTCAATTGTGCATCTTTAAAGAAAATATTCCATCAGCAAGCTACAATCGATGACACTCAACTTTGATCACACTGCTCTGACACCTGTCTTTGTCTCTCCCAATGTTGTTTTGAAATGGTTTTTTGGTGGACTTGTCCAAGTTCGAGGCCAACTTTGAGGGGAAAGGGGAAAGGAGGTCGAGTACAACATTTCAGATTGTAGTTTTAAAATCGCGTATCTTGCATATGTTATAGTATCAATTTATCCTTGGTTTAAATTTTCCTCTTTTTTTGAATATGGTAATGACATGAGTTTAAACAAAGAGGAAAATAAAAGTTGAACCAAGGGTAAAATTAAGCCAAAACATAATATATCTTCAGCTTTTTACTTTTTCTGGGAAGATGCCATCCTCAGAGACCCAGGGGCATAGTGTGGGGGCAAGGGAAAGTCTAAATGGGCGGGAAAATATGGCACGAAGAAAAGTAAAGGACGGATAGAAGAGCCCCTGGGGACAATGTCTTACCAGACCAGTTCCAAACGGTCGCCGCCGTTCTGGCTTCTGATTAGTGCCAGAAAAACACAAGTTTTCTTAAAACTGAATTTATCCAGCTTTGTTGTCGCTGCTCAGCTGATTTTATTCAGCCTTCTTTCCATTTGTTTTGTGATGTTGTAATAAGTTGATCGGTTAGTATAAATAGAGCACTGTTATTCCTGTTTTTCGATGCACATTGCGGATTTACTTGACTGTATGATTTACGTTCACGAGCTGAAGATTAAACTGTTGAAGTCCAAGTTTGATTCCTGTCCTGTTTCCAGTTGTAGCAGATCCTGTACCTTGGAATAGTGACGAGTTCCTTTCCCGCTAGCCAAGCGAGTTGCAGAGTTAGTTTTCCCCTTGTTGTTCTTACGCCGAAGTCGCTCGGATTCTCTTAACGCTTATTTCCCCGATTTGTGCTTGGAAGGGCAAAACCTATCGACACAATATGTTAAGAACTATAAAAAATGTTAAAAATGTACAAAAGAATAAAGTAAAGCATGCAGAAAAAGAACAACAATAGAATCTAATTAAAAGAGCTATTTAAAAAACTTTTGCATGAAGTGTCTGATTGTACATTGAAATTTAATGACCTGAGACCTGGTCTCAACAATCAGACACACCTCGTGCAAAAGTTTTTAAATAGCTCTTCTAATCATATTCTATTGTTGTTCTGTTTGACTTAACTTTTTCTTAACTTTTTTACATTTTCAACATTTTTTATAGTTCTTAATACATTTTATACCTTACACATATATATGCTAATTCTTTTAATTTTTTACTTTCTTGAAAATGACTGAAGATCGGTCGAAACGTTGCTTTTTATCCGTGAATTTTACTGTGTTAAGTTTAAAAAACCCTTAGCTATAAATTTTCTTTTTATCTATTGTAACTAAGTTACATTTATCTTCAATCATAAGTAAGGCTATCATTCGTTTATTTATTTTTTAATTTTAGTTTTTTTTTACAAACCGATGAAGAGCCAAGCCCCTTTGACCTCACCGATGTTTCAAAGTTCCCCGAACCCACACACCCAAAATTTCAGTCCCCCCAAACATCTTCATACCCCCTTCTCCAAATTAAATGATCTTAAGTTTCCCTTATCCACGTAGGCGTTTTCTCGATACAAATATTATCAAAAATAGCCGAAAGACAATCCTAAACAAAAATCCTAACAACTTTTAAAATGAGTACAAGTATGTTTTCGACTATTGATAAGATCTTTCACAACCACCACTTCATTACATCAGACTGTAACTACCACGGGGGAGGAGGGTGAAGACGAGGTCTGGGACCACGAGAAACCATGTTCTCACAACATGCAAAGCGCTCACCTTCCGAGGTGGTCAGAGGATAACTGCAGTGTATTTTTCTCAAAGTAAACAAAAGCGAACCAGCAGAGAAAATAATTCAATACTTGAAAAAATAATATCATGCCTCTTTGTTTTTCTCGCGTATAATATCTTTCCGTTGGAATGGAAATTCCAAAACGCAAGCTACACCCATTGCAACCTTGTAGATTCTTAACCGATAACAACGCGCTTGGCTATTGATCGAAATTATAGGTATTTTGCTGGGTGAGGAGAATATTATAGAAGATATGATGCCGATAAAAATTACTGGAGAAATTGTCAAATTTATCGAAATTAAGTCTATTCAAGAGAGCTTTATAAATATGAACTTACATACCTGAATAAACAGATTCACACTTCACAACGGTGATAATATTTCACTTCTTTTATTCCGATCAGTCAAAACCTTAAATTCAAAGTTACAATTCTAACGACCCGAATAAACAAATTAAAAGCTCTGTACCTTGAAGCGACCTTACTTTTCCTTAGGTTCTCGGCGAAACATTAATCGATATCTTAATTCTTCGGCGGTTGTTTTAGCTATACGCAGCTATAGGTTGCATGTTCCAAACTCTGCGGAGGAAAATAGTTAAAAAGAAAAAAATCGAAGCAAAACATACACTATATAAAATCAATTTAGTTGCAAATTACCAAAATATAATAGTGAGAAACAACCCCGCCTTCGACCACCATGATTTTGTTCCTTCTCAAAACCTTTGATCTTTAGTTTATGACGTAATGCGTGTGATCACTACACAAATCCGCTGGCAAGACCCTTGATGATCGCCTTGCAAGTTGTGAGAACATCGTTTGATTTCTTTTAAGAGAGAATGTTTGGGAAGTTGGTCCCCCCCCCGCCCTGTATCTCTTCATAACCAAATTAGCACTCCCAGTCTCCCACAACTACCTCACTGCAACACCTAAAATCACTTTTACCTTCCAAACATTTTTTTTTACTTTATATCAAATTCTATGAGAAACCAGTTTTACTGATTAACAAACTACAGCCATTATCTTACCAATTCACGTCCAATATAACTCCATGCCTTCCACCAACCCGTAAATTATACAATGCTACTGCACTACTCACACATCCCTAATACACTTTTAACAAAAATTTCACATACGCCTAGTGTAACGACGCCCAAATATACGCTCCCACAGCTTCTTGTTAGCTTTCAGGAGTTGTGTCTCAGGTGAGTTAGAATGATCATAGCATTTTTCATGAAAGATATTAATTATCGTGGATAATGTGTATAAAGGGTTTAGTTTTGTCGTTTGTCTCACGATTTCAGATCTTCATCAGGCGATAGTGTCGATTTACTGAGTCGCACTATTTGTACCACTGTGGTTGTTAGTGATTGGTGTATCACAAACCTCGCTCATGGTTGGTGGGTTTCGGTCCAAAGCATCGTTGGTCAGTATTGTGAGAGGAAGAAACTGATCCCTCAGCGGTCCGCTGTGGTAGAGATCGGTTGACATGTTGTCCTTTTTGATACAGGTTGTTAGGGTGAAGTGTTATGTGGATAGCCTCCTTCACTCTACGAGAGTACCAGTGAGGGTCTCGGTAAATAAACGTAACCTCGTCCCAGAGTGGATAATGCCCGTTCTTATTGACGTGTTCAGAAACGGCGGAAGTTTGAGTTCGTGAAAGCAGTATATCCCTATCGTGCTGCTTAATCCGTTCATGCATGCACCTTCCAGTTTCGCCAATATGTACTTTGCCGCATTCACAAGGAATCTGATACATAAGTCAATCTTATTTTCGTGGATACACAGGATCCTTAAGTCGTACTAACTGCAATCTTAGTGTAGCGTCGGATTTGAAAACAGATCGTACGCCATGCTGCTGTAGGCAACGACTAAGTGTTTCAGATAAAACTTTGATGTACGGCAGAACCGCTCTAGATTTAATTTCGGTTGAGGGTTCTTTGTCTCATTTACAAACGAACAGACCTCAAGGTTTTTAAGAAAAGATTATTTAATTGTCTATTTAATAAATAGATTGCATGAGTAGGAACTTCTTTATCTAATCTGAGATTCTCGCATTTTGTTATTGACACAAAGAATTGGTGATAGGACTTCGTGTAATTTAATTCAGGAGTAATCGGACTCGTAATTTCAGATCGGCCTTAAGCGCTCGGCCGACTTGAAAAATTTCTCACCCGATTACTCCTTGAATTGTACTCCACTCAGTCCTATAACCATTACTAATAAAATACATGCAAACATTTTGGCATGCTCATTGGTCGAGAGCACGTCAATTAATCCCAAACAGTGCAAAAAGTTGAAATTGAGAGCAGAAAGTTGAAATCGAATTGATTGCTAGGAGAGTTACGAGTCTGTCAAGTTTGGGGAAAATCAGGCAACTTCGCTGGAATAACTCAGTCTACGAAAGAAACAAAAGCCGCTAGCACAATGCAGAATTTTTGACTGACAACCAAAACATGAATAACAATTCAATGAAAGATGTAAAACAAAAGCCCTTTTCATTCAATGCAGAAAGTAGTGTGATTGAATTGTTTCGAAACCTTGTTTCCCTTCTTTTTGTTTTTTTTAGCTGGCTTCCGTTTGGAAGGCTAAAACAAGATGAACATACCTCGCGTAAAACCTTATTAAAAGTGATACCGACAACTCCGTTTTCTTTAGAACTTCTCTTTTTTCACAGCCAAAGTCAAACGAGAGAAAAAATGCAATGATAAAAGGTTTAGTTTTATCGTTTGTCTCACGATTGTCACTTTGATATTGATCGCGACGTTTCGACCGCACACTGCAGCTCTTCATAGGGTCTTTCTGATAAGGTCTGTTAAGAACCGCATTGTTCCAAGAGACTTTCGGGTCCGGTCACTAATACCGACTAAAGGCGCTCGCAGAGTAGCCGAACTAGCATTCTTTAGGTTGCTACGAGAAAGAATACGTTTGACTCAGAGAACTGAGGGAGATGCGAAAACAGCTGCAGAGCTCACTACAAAAAAGGAAATATTTGCTTGCAAATAGGATTTTTATGCCTTTTTGCCTCCTATTGTAATTACTAAAGTATTCCCAGTTGGTCTGGGCGTGGGGAGCAGGTAATTATGTTAGGATATCCCCCCTCTGCAGTTTAGCATTCATCATATGTTCAACACGTTCCTGTATGAGTCATTCGTCTCGGTTCAGCAGGGGATTAAAGGGGCTATGTCAGCTGGAGAGCATGCGCTCTGAGGTTATGCAAATTACTTTCAACTGTCAAAGTTCTATTGTTTTTAACGCGTGACTTTCTCCATGTGCGCTCTGAGGTTATGCAAATTACTTTCAACTGTCAAAATTCTATTGTTTTAAACGCGTGACTTTCTTCATGTTCTCTGTCACGTCCAAGGTTCCGAATTTAGAGAGGTTAACAAGCGAAATGAGTTTAGATCAGGGATATTTCGATAGAATTTATGGAACGTTTCTTCTCTGGTTATGCTAGATCAAGAATAAAATTGTGACGACAATTTTACTTGTAGTTTTGAAGTAAAAACGCATGCCATTCATAAAATAGAGCGCAAACAAAAATTCAACAACAACATATTGTCTTATTCAACAAAATAAATGGAAGTTGTATTTTATAAACGAGCTACAAAAGACGCTAGACCGAAGATAAAGACCAAGACTGTTTCAAATCATTAACAATTAGACTTGTCTGTCGCTATTGATTTTATAATTTAGATGCTGATAGAACAATAGAGCAAGTCTTTGTTTTGATCTTAGGGAAACATACATTATCGCGCAAAATTGTTCGATCGTGCCGAATCACTGCGACGTCGAGAAAAACAGAACCCAGCATCATTGGTATACTACTCCACTATAAGCAGTCCGTTGATAAAAAGGGAAAGTAAACTCTGCTATTTTCCAAAATTATGCTCGAACACAAACAGTTCAAAAACATGGCATTTACAGGATCTAACCCGTACTAAGGTGCCTCTCTAAGTCCGTTGAGAACAATCTGGACGAGCAAACGGTCTTGTTTATCTTTGCCGTGAATCGAGATAAATACAAGAAGGAATCTAGCCGAATTTTAGAATGTTTCCTTCGCCAGGAGTTTAGTTTGGTCACGAAACTCATGGCCTGATGCTCTTGTAATCGTTTACAAAAGACGGCCACCGCCAACTCGATAGCCGCTTCATTATATGTCCACATACTTTGAGCACAAGAAAAATCCAAGAGCCAGCAATAGAAAGGTCCTGTGAACTATAGGGAAAACTTCCATCAAAGATTCCATCACTCATTGTGGTGTAGCCGTCATTAACTCTGCCATTACAACGCCCGCTGATAAGAGGACACAGCAAATCCACGTAAAAACATTCCACAGGCAAACAATTTTAAAATAACGCCAAAAAATTGTTCTGTAATCACCATAGAACGATTCTTAATACAAACTTCGCTAACTATCGAACGATGGCTGAGATTTAGACAGATAAAAACAGCCTTCCACAATCTCCGACACAACTTGAAAAAGTTGGGCCGTCTTTTTCAAATTTGTTTTCATTGGCTCGCGCATGCGTGTTGGGTGACATAGCCCCTTTAAGACGTGTTTTTTCTGCCACATTTCTTGACTATGTAGCTTAATGTTCTTCGTTTTGTTGTTTGCGTTTTCTGTGCCCTCACATTTACTGGGCCAGATAATGTTTCGAACAGTTTGTTGAAAATGCATATTTGAATAAAGAGGCAATGAGCACAGGCTCATAGCCATTTTCTTCCACACCCAGTTGTTTTCATTTGGCCCAGTAAACGGAGCTCATGACATCTGCTCTTTCGTCCAAGGATATACTTGAAAAGATCAGTTGCAACACCGAGCGAGTCTTTAATAAGACCAAAGACCGACAATGTCCTCTGCTTCGCCGACTGATACACCTTGTATTGACAAGAACAAATCGGTTATCAGTTTATCCTCAAGGTCCTTAAGCGACACTGAGGTTGCGCTACTGCAGAAAGGTTAAATTTCGCATTAACTCCAACTAGTATCCCAGCCACTGAGATAGTTGCCAAAGTCGAGTCTGCTATAAGACCACTTCACACAGAACAAGCTAACTCAGTCAGGAGAACTGTTTTAACAGTTTTAACAGAAGATTATTAAAATAATCTTCTCCAAAAGGCACGGCCACCTAAGACTAACGTAACTAAAGACAAGAAACAAGCCCTCAAGGAGGATAACACTATTCTGCTTCTCACGGCTGATAAAGGTCGCGCCAGCCAATTTTCCGCCATGTCGTTACTAAAAATAGTAAAAAAATGGCGGGAAATTCAAATTTCAAAACGCTATATCTTTTGAGTGGATAGGCATATTTCAAAACATTTTTCACTTTTGATAACCTTGTGGTAAGTTCTTTCAGAACCCATCATTATATATCCTAAAATACTAAAAACAAAATTTGGCGGAAACTTTGTGACGTCATTTTCCGGCCAAAAATGCCAAAATCTGAAAAACAAAAAACATACGATTTTAGGGAATTGTGAGCTCTATATTGTTGCAAATTTTCAAGTGGATTTTTCAGGTGAGCGTTTTAGATGTCACACGTGCCCACCGTGAATTAACTTAGTGCTAGACCATTTAGACATTAAAATACTAAAACTAAATCATTGAATAAAATCCTCTCGGAAACATACAGCCATTACAGAGATCTACGACCCTCTGAAATATGGTCAAATTTCTTTCATAAAACAATCCTAGCAGCGAAATTCTGCACTAATTGCAGCTTATGCATGTTTGATTTAACTGTGTTTCCCTATACAAAGGAACAATAAACTAACTTGCTAAAGACAAAGCTAGTTACAAGTAATATGAGTGACTTTCTGTCCGAGAGGTGCTTAATTCTATTTACCTTTACCAACGGATGAAAACAAGCGGAACTTGTCTGAGTTATATGGATGCTATAATTGACACTTTGATCTAAGTATAGCCCAAAATCCGTTGCGAACTAGAACCGGGGAGATAGTTTTACCTAGTACTATAAGCGATATAGCAGGTAACTGACTGGTGAGTTGGGGTAAACTTACAACGACTAATAACCTTGGGGATTGATAAGAAACGAATGATGAGGGCACCATTCACTAATACCAGTTAAATCATTGTTCGCAGCTGAGATGGCATTAGCTGAATCTGATACCTTAAACTTGAAAAACATTAGACAATTATCAACATACGTTTTGGCTTGACTAGCGCTAATTTCATTAACAAGATCACCAAAATAGATGGTGGATAAAATTGGACCCAGAATTGAGCCCTGGGGTACCCTATGTTATATGGGAAGTATTTCTGAGATGAAATCTTTGTAGCGAACCCCTTCGACCCTCTGCTTTCTAAATGATAGATAGCTAAAAAACCAGGGAACGGTTGGCTACATCAGGCCATATCTGCGCAACTTAGTAAGACGATAGTTGTGATCAAGACTATCAAATGCTTTTTACATATCCAATAATACTACTAACGATACAACTGCTTTCAAAAGTTGATGAGTGACATATGCTAGGGAAGTTTCTGTAGAAATGTATACATTTCTTTTTGCCAGTTTGATGAACTGACAATTTGTTATTTCTTCTGTAAGCCTCTCAATTACCTTTGACAAGATAGGCAATAGTGAAATTGGTCTCTTAATAGCTGGTACCTCTGGGTATCCCCCTTTAGGTATAGGGACGACTTCCGCCAATTTCCATGGGCCAGAGAAGGTACTTTGTTGGAAGGAATTATTAAGTAGTTGCTTGTCTTGCGCCATTGCAAGCAGCGCTGACTGCAGGTGGAAGCTTCGGTGAACTCGCTGTAATAAGCTGATCTCCACTTTCCGTAAAGAGCTTTAACTGAGAACCCCCACATGTTGCAGCAGCCGAGAAACCGGTGTGATTCATCCTTGGAGTAAAAGATGGACTCAAAGCCAGACTTGTAGCCTGGATATTTCTTGTTCGGATAAAGTTCCTTTGTCTTCTCGACAATTTCTCCAAGGCTTCTTTGAATACCGGCATCCTAAAGCTGTACACGAATGGATTAACCAAAGAATTGGCAAGATGGAAAACATTGACCGTCCATATCACGTATGGGTGAAAACACCTCTTGCAGATGTCCCTACCTATGTAAACAGCAAACGCTGGCAGCCAAAACAGAAGCGACAAAGCGATCACCACGAAGAGAGTCCTTGAAAGTCGTAAGTTATACTCAGCAGTTTGACGGCGGTTGACAACGGCTACTTCGGGTGCAGTGCTGCTCAATCGTGTTCGTATTTTGAGGTAGCTCGCACAAATCATCACAAAACAGATAAAAAGGCAACAATGTGCAACAACATGAACAGTCTCCTTCTCCAGCTTTGGGTAATAAAAGGAAAGAGCCATCAGACCAAATATGAAAATTCCTACAGCCCATACGACGACAATACTGTAGATGTAAACGCGAGTGCTAACAACACGATGACGCAACGGTTTCAACACGGCAAAAGCGCGCTCGAGGGAAATCAGAGCGAGAAAAAACACCGATGCACTTGATGCAAAAAGTTGCATTGCTCGTGGTAGACCATTTTCTCGTTTTCCCCTCAGTGGGTTTGTTTCGTTAATTCCCCTCGGATTTGACGTTGTCGCCGTCATCTGATGGTACTTTTCCATCCCCAGAATTATGGGCTCTGTAATACCCACAAGTAAGTCAGCAACGGCGAGATTTATCAAGAGATAGCAAGTTCTTCTTATATGCGATGTCCGAGTCGGAGTTGAGAAAACAAAGATGGTGAAGGCGTTTCCAAGGATGATCAATGCAGCCTCTACTACAAAGACAACAACAAAGATAATCGCCAACATTCTTCTCAGTCTATCTCAGTATTTGCGACTAATTGCAATATCACACCACTACAACGTTATAGTTCAAGTCAATTAAAGTATTTATAACGCCCTGCTGGTAACACCCAACCACGTTTTTTCTTTTTCTTTTTCTTCTTTCTTTGTCTTTTTTCACGATGATGCTGGTGATATTGATAGTCAATTTTGCGGTGTTGTATACCTGTACATTTAAATTGTCTGCATGCAATGGTTGTGTAACCAAATGAATGATACCTTGCTAAGTCAACAGCAGCTGCTCGCCGTAGTACTTGATGATCTAGTGTGTTTTTTATCTCTCTTCAACCTTTTGGCCAGAAAGAAACAGTTTTAAATTCATCTGGCAACAAAGCAGAGAGAAGGAGAAAATGTAAAATGCCTCTTACTTAATGTCCTCACATTTCCGATTTACTAATGGTGTCGTAAATCATGCGAAGGTGATTAAATATATTACGTTTGACTTGACTCAGTTGGTCCTTTTTCCATCAATGAAAATAAAGCATTTCATCTATTTCAAAAACCTTTTGAATGATACCTTCACTGGGATGTTTTTTTACACGTATAAATGAAATCGGCAATAATATTTCTATTCAAAACATCCTAAACCAAGTAGTTATGTAAAGATGCTTTCTGGCTCAACTCAAACCCAGTGCTTTTTCCGTCATCCGACATCAAAATTTTCCTGTCTATTTTCTGTCATCATATTTGTACTTTTTTGAAAATTTTAATTTAAGGAGCACTTTTTCAAACAGTCCTTAATTAGAAAATCAAGCCCTGTCATTTTTTATGACAGTAATATTCCTGAATATTTATGTTATATGAGTACCAAACGCTCGCCTCGCTCGCCGGGGTTAATCAGAAAAAAAAAACATGTTTGAGTTTAGCCAGAAAGCATCTTTATATAACTACTCAAATCTTGTTGTTGATGGTGTAAAAATCATTGTTTTATAACTACTCCGAACAGACAATCATTTACACAACATTTCAAACATCTACAGGTTTGTTTTGATTAAGTTGTCAATATTTAATCAGTTTCAGAATGTTTTAGAAAGGGGGTTTCCCATTTATCATTATCGCGTGAAAATGAGAAATAAAATTTATTTGAGAATTTATTTTTATCTAAGTTTTTATACCAAGTTGTGATTTTTTGTTGTAGAAATCATCTTTTATAACTACTCAAAATACACTTTCATTTACATAACATTTCCGATACCTACATCTGAGACCCTGTTTACATGGAGTGGGGGACCACGGTCTAGTGAGGTAGTTTTCTTTTGTTTTGTGTCCCCCGGAGCCTGAAAACAAAAGAAACCAACCCCACTAGACCGGGGTCCCCCACTGCATGTAAACAGGCCCTGAGTAAACTTTAAGAGTAAACTTTACTGACAAAGTTTGTAATTTATTCACACTTTTTTTTTTCATAAAATTTCATGGTTCTCGGGAAAGATAGATTTTTATAGTTAAAAATAAATGCTTAAAGAAATTAGAACACACAACAAAATGGGATTCATATCAACAACCAAAAGCCAATATATTGTTGATAACGTCGTTTTTCCCTCAAAGAGAGACTACGAATTTATCAATCAAATCGACCAGCAGCTTCTCAAACTTTGTTCGCCAGACCCAGATAATGATTTATGGCCAATTTAATCAGATTCTTAACAATGTTCGGAATCTTACAAACAATCTTAACAAACTTTAACTTCGAAAAACAGATGATTCAGCTTTTGCAGGTTTGTTTTATGGCATCATAAACTTCCTTTATGAAGGAAGTAAATATGAAGATGAAGACTTTTTAAATGATAGCATAAAGTTCAACCGTCTGAATTTTAAGCGTCCAATTGGGGGCTTTTTTTATGCCGCTCGAAACGGTGAATTCTCTCCAGTCTCTTAACATGCACATGTGTTAGTAGACTTTTTTTATGTCGCTCGAAACGGGGAAACAGTTTTTGTATTTTAAATAAAACCAACAACTGAAGTTTTATCTGATGTTCTCAAACTCATTAATAATTCATAAAGAAAATTCAAAGGAAATTAATGTTTAATGAGAGTTTGGATATCGGATGAAAAACTGCTCATTTTTGCATCCTTAATTTCTCCTTCAAAAATGATTTTGTTTGAGAAGAAATATCAAACATTCGACACAGTGTTTCATCACCAGATGAAACACCTCGAAGTTCGTCAAAAATACTCCGCTACGCGTCGTATTTTCAACTCTCTTCTCGGTGTTTCATCTGGTGATGAAACACTGCGTCTCATGTTTGATATATTACTTGAGGAAGAGAAAACAACAACCAACAAAGAATGTTGTAGATGGAAAAGACTTTGTTAAACTAACTAAAAAAGCTTTAAAACTTGGTGCCGAATCTCTTGATTTTTCGGGGGCACCCAACATCAATTTTCGGAAAATATCTGTTCGGGAGACGATTTGAGATCTAGAATTTTCGGAACATTTGTTGTAAAATTTGTTGCTTGACTGCCTCTCCTAGGATTTTCGAACATCTGACAACTGGTATAATTACCCATTTTTAACGGATTTTTACCATAGTAAGGTCACCTAGAATTTTCGGGAGCCTTTTTTCTGGCTGAAATTTTCGAAAAGTTAAGTTTTGATATCTATAATTTTCGGATCACTAGACTTTTAGCTAGGAAATCCGAACAGATGGAAAATTTTTAGGGGACAAAAATATGCCTCATACCGTTTAAATACTAAAATTTGATCAACAATGCATGTTTAAGTGATTTTGAACTATATCCTCGTTGGGTGGTGCTGATATTTTCAATCGAAAAAATAGTAAATATGTTGCAACACTCAAGGATGGGAAAAAAGTTAATTTTGGTAACCAAAAATATGAAGATTTTTTAATTCATGGTGATGAAGAGCGATGAAAAGAGTCTCTTGCGAGAGCAAAGAAAATTAAAAACAAAAAGAAGGGATAACTTGGGAAAATCCTGAGTCTGCTAATTACCGGGTCGATTCATCTATTGTGGGGTGGTGCCGGATTTAAAAAAGGTTGAAGATTTATTAAACATTAAAAAAAGATGCCAAAGCAAAGGGTTATTATTAACGGCAAAAAAAAATTTACAAACGTCGTGTATTTTCTTATTATGCAGCTTCAAAAGACAGTGAAATTGAAAATGTTAAAACAGAAAGATTTTAAAACCTAGATTAACTAAGACTGGATATCATAGAATAATTATTTATGATAAAAATTTAGACAAACCAAGAGATTATTATATACATAGGTTTGTTAACGAGTGTTTTTACGGATTGATTCCGGAAGGTTACGAGATTTACCATATTCAACAAGACAAAAGTAATAATCAAATTAATAATTTACAACTTCTTACACATAATGAAAATGTACAAAAATAACAAAATAAACCACTTCTCAATAAATGTCTTAACTGAGGAAGAAAAAACTTAATACATTAATATTACATCAACATCAATTGAATTAAAGATTTGTTTGACGTCAATTTCATATCTTACCCTTGTCTCCGGGGAAAAGCCCTGGGAACGAGGTTGCGGAATAAACGGCTGCCAGGGAGAAGACTATCCTAAAGTGTGATGTTACTAATATTTAAAAGTTTAAATTGCATAAAAGTGCCAATATCTCGCTCTCACACTAAGAGAAAATAATATTTTAGGCAAGTAGGTTTATTTGCGGGCGACAAGAGGAGCCGCATTCCTAATCTCAAGATTGTTATTACGCGTGCGTCGCATGTAAGTAGCGGGTATTCGTTTGGACTTCCTCTTAGAATGTACAGAATGCACAGAACGCACTTTGATCACGCGCGTTTTTACCTTCTATCACTCGTTATCTGATCACGCGTATTTTGACGCAAAGCACAGCGCTGGAGCAAAAGCGTTTTGACCTTCGATCGTTGTCGCCCGCACTCCATAACCTTTGGTTATTTCTAGTTTTATCAATTTAATCT